TAGTAATTCACTGGTTTCACGTTGTGTATCAGTGTGTTTAGTGTTAGTAAGGCACCGGTTTCACGTTGTGTATCAGTGTGTTTGGTAGCGCTTACTCTCCCCGCACACATACAAATCTTAGCCATAGCATAGCCTGCACCCCCCCCACCCCTCCAACTTCCGCTCAATAACTCCGTTCACATCCCAGTCCCTGCGTGATCCCCCCTGCCATCCATTTTCTCCTTTATTTATAGCCCACTGCTCCTCCTCCTCTCTCCTCTAGTGACACCAATAAAGTTCCTCCCCATGGACGCTCAGAAACAGAGCGCGGTGGTAATGAGCAGCCCGCAAGGCTCCAATTTGGCAACAGAGCGGGTCCCCAGTTCCGGGTTCATTCTGATGTTTCCTGTTCCGGCCCACAGGAAGCAACCCGCGCGTCAACTACACGCCGCTCTACAAGACCATGGTGGCCATGTGGATCGTCATTGGCCTCGCCTGGCTCTCCGCAGTCTTCAATGCCATCACCGCTCTGCTGGAGCGTGTGGGTGAGGACCTGGCAAGACGGGACCGAAGGAACCCTGGCTCGGAAGGGGGCATTGCAATTGTGGAGCCCGGCCACCCTAGCCATGGAGGTACAATGGGGGACCATGGACAGATGGGTGAGATGGAGAAAGAAATCCACCAGGTCCCCAATTTTGGAGGAGAAACAGGAGGAGGAGGCCCTCTTCCAGGAGTGGGCACAGAGAAAGGGGACTTCAAGGACCCTGGTCCAGGAGGTGGTACGGAGAAAGGGGACCTCAAGGACCCTGGTCCAGGAGGTGGTACGGAGAAAGGGGACCTCAAGGACCCTGGTCCAGGAGGGGGTTCAGATAAAGGGGACCTCAAGGACTATGGTCCAGGAGGTGTTACGGAGAAAGGGGACCTCAAGGACTCTGGTCCAGGAGGTGGTACGGAGAAAGGGGACCTCAAGGACCCTGGTTCAGGAAGGGATACAGAGAAAGGGGACCTCAAGGACCCTGGTTCAGGAGGGGGTTCAGGGAAAGGGGACCTCAAGGACTCTGGTCCAGGAGGTGGTACGGAGAAAGGGGACCTCAAGGACCCTGGTTCAGGAGGGGGTTCAGAGAAAGAGGACCTCAATGACTCTGGTCCTGGAGGGGATACAGAGAAAGGGGGCCTCAAAGACAATGGTCCTGGAGGGGTAACGGAGACAGGAGACCTCAAGGACTCTGGTCCTGGAGGGAGTATAGAGAAAGGGGACCTCAAGGACTCTGGTCCTGGAGGGGGTTCAGAAAAAGAGGACCATGGTCCTGAAGGAGGTATGGAGAATGGGGGCTCTGCGGGCAGTGATACCCCTGACAAGCCCAACCTCGCTCTCATGATCCCCCCTGAGGCACAAACAGAAAGGGACGACATTTAAGCACGGACATAAGAGGTGGACACCACGTGGGTGGAGTTCCTAGCGTGGGAGGCAATTGGGATGCACTTGCATGCGGTCACATTTTAGTCTTCCTGCACACTTGGATGTGCTGCTGCCGGGTTATCACGGTTTATTTCGCAACTGGGTCACCCCAGAGCTCAGACGGGCCACTGACGTTGAGCGACGTCCAATCAGGGTGCACCTAAAACATCGCGCGACCACAGCCACCTGGTCATAGTTGCCAAGGCAACGCGGCCCCTCAAAGAGGCCCCGGCGCTTACAATGGCGGTGGTAGCCAGGCCACGGCGAAATGGCTGGGTGGTGTACACCATGACTTATTCTCAAAATAAACTGATATCCACGTGTACAGTCAATTGCACGAGTGATTTGGTGGGTGAGAATCAAGTTGAGTCCGTGATGGTCGAATGGTGGAATATTCCAGCGACCACGAGCCACGGGAACACTGAGAAGCGTTGAGGGCAGGCAGATCGCACCATCGGCAGGTCGGAAAACAGTAAACAAAAATACACCGTCTCAATGATATACGTTGCTTCACACTCACGTCGCTGACTTTTTGAGGAACCCAACTTAAAATGTCCCCGCACACACGTGATTACGGAATTTCTACTCGGTTCAGCCGAGTCGAAATAGTACTCTCCAACTCGGATTTCGTGCATGCACCACCATCTTCTGTCCCATCGTGTTGTCTCGCATGCGTAGCGAGCGCTCATTATAGATTGGCGCGGACTTCATCGCAAAATATCGCCGCAAGCCTTCAACAATGAGTAGCTAGTGATAGTGATCGTGCAGGTAGTGAACATATGAAAAAGTGCAGTAGTAATACGCTCGATGTGGGCTCACACGAAATAGATTTTTCCAAGACGGAGGTACTCTGCAAACCTACCGGCTACCTTCAGAGATTTGTTCATGAAGCCATCCAGATATATAAACACAGACACAACTTCAACCGAGAGGATGGGTACAAACTGAGCAATCATTGGAAGGACGTTATGAACCAGGTAAAGTCTTAACTGTGATGTTTCCATCCTACCTGCTTATGTCAGCTGTTATTTGCGACTTTCTGTGTCTCTCTCTCTCTCTATGCCTCTCTCTTAGACCTCCCATGCTCACATGTCCTTTGAATTGCACTCTCATGCCTTTGGATTGTACCCTCACGCTCACACGTCTTTTGGATTGCACTCTCATATTCACAGGGCCTTTGGATTGCACCCTTTGGGTTCCTCTAATGCCTTTGGATTGCACCACTCTTCGATTTTACATTAACATCATGCTAATCTCTCACATTAACAAAGCCACTTCCATGCCCTCGTCGAGGAGGCCGCTCTCCTATCTTACAGTTACACGCTAATTTATCACATTAACATCACTAGCCCCGGCCACTTCCTAATGACCCTTGGGCGACACCCATTTCAAACCTTTTAAGAACAGTCTGCCTCAGCAGCAGGCCAAGGCTTTCCCACCTGATGATGGACGCTTGTGTTGCGCCCGAAACGTCGTGATTTATTTTATTTTATACCTACGTGACTTTACCGAAAGAGCCAAAGAGTAAGTTTGTAGTATCAAAGTTGAACGTGCGGTTGATATTGAGCACCATTTGAATCTTCCTCCAACGAGTGTTGAAAATAAAGCCAAGCATGTTTTAAAGCATTCGAAGATCAACATTTCTGGCATCATGGAACAAGGATCTGCACAACAAGAACATGCGATCAGCTTAGCTCTCGTTCACGAGAAAGCCCCGAGGTTGTACGAGGACTTGAAAAGGAAGTTGGGAGAAGCAGAGAAAGATAGACCATTCAAGGCCGCCCATGGAAGGTTTTACAGATTTCAGGCACGGTATAGTTCCAAGAACGTAAAGATTTGGTAAAAAAAAACAAGCTTTCGCATACAAGTCCGCGATGCAATATACGAGCGATACAAAGCAGCGATCCGACACGTCTGCGTTTTATCAGAAGTCTGCCGTGTTTGTATTCTCTGCGGCTGTCGTTGTTTGACCGGCTGTATTTGCACGTCTATTTGTGTCGGCGCACTTTTTCGATGTGGGATTGCGGTTCGAGTTGTGTATGGCCGTGGTTGAGGGTCTCGAGCACTGTACGGTTGTGGTTCTTTGAGCTTTTGTTGCGGCGTATGGTCGTGGTTTATAACATTACTCTACCTCGCATGATAAAACGATAACATAAACGAGATTACTTTCGACTATATTATCAGCGTTAATAACATTCCTAACGTGGTTAACATTCCTACAGTAAATCCTCGTTAAACGCGGCAGACGCGTTCCTGAAAAGTGCCGCGTTAGGCGACACATTGCGCCAAGTGAAAATAATTTCCCCATGAATAATGTAACGATAAAGTTTGGCGAGATACGGAGTACACAGTGAGATGGAACAAATAACCGAGGATACGCAGCCGCGTTGCCGTCTCATTCCGCGGACTGTATCGCACCGCTCGACAGCAGTAGCTCGTTGTCAACCGTTCAGAAACCGCCTTATAACGGGCGCATTCGATACTGCGCAAAAAGTATTCCCCAATGGAAAAAAACACACGTTAGTGTGAAAACGCGTTGTGTAAACACGTGTCAAGCGACGACTTACCGTGTGCCATCAGATGAACAACATTGCTGTGCTTACCTCTGCCACGCGTGCTTTCTTATCGCGTGGCTCCCACTGCTGCTTGGCTAATTTCATGGATGTGGACACCACCCGCATTCAAAATATGGGTTGTCCACCTCACCACGCACGGAGTTCGCTCTTCTCTCCGAGAAGTGGAGCTGCAGATTCTTGCAACAGGAAAAGCATCGCACGCGAACATTGGCACCAATTTCCCCGTTGCAGCCGATTAGTCAGCAGGTGGAGCAGGAGTGATTACATCAACCAAAGCAATTTCTGTCACGCCATCCGTGCCTGCAACAAACGGTTGCCAACTTCACCTTTTTCACTCCGATTTTCGTGTCGTATGCAAATCACTTCATGCTTAGATGACATCATTTTTTCTGCACTCATGCCCCGGATATCGGCTCACATTCGCTGTTCCGCCACTACATATTCCAGCAGATGTATGGATGCGCCAATGACAGAACAGCATGTTGGTGACCTGGCCAAGGCCTCCAATAACCACTCCTGCCCAATCGCTGGTGTCGTGACCCACTCGAGAAAAGAAGTTACCTAATAAGATGGTCTGTCCTGAATGGCCAGCCAACAGCTGGGAAAGGTCAGGACTCATCATCTTTGCCTTCATCATTCTCCGCCTACTGTCGATGAGAAGGCACGCTCACAAAACCATGCGACTCCGACACCTCGCCAAGCACCAAGCTGCCAGGCTACCCCTTTGGTCTTTTAACCACTCCCTGTTGCTTGATGCCATCCTGCCCCAAGTAGACAAATCTCCATCCCGCATGTAAAAGGAGCCAGAATCAGTCCACCAGTCCTCTTGTATTCCGGAGAGATCCAGGTGGGATCGGTCCAGCTCCCGACTGAGGAATGGCAGCTTCTCCCCCTCCTCCCGCGTGCGAGCCGAAACAAACCCCAGGCGAAGCAAGTAACGGAAAGCGGAAAGCCCGCGGGGACGAACACGACGATGGAGTGCTGGGAAATGTCACAAAAGTTTATTTCTTCAAGTAAATATGAAGCGAACACTAGGGCCCCCACAGCGCTGTGACAGTCACACAGCGTGCGTATAAAAGGCAGACGCTACGTTAAAATGGCGAGAAGAAGAAATCCGACCGAGGGCGTGGACATCGGGCTTCATGGTAAGGGGAGGCGGCGTGCTCAAGGCAACGGTCTGAGCGGAGATGAGATCCAAAAATAGAGTACTCTTACTTCTCATTTGTTGCATTTGCTCATTTGTTATTCAATTCTTACATTGCCACTCTTAAGGATCAGGCTGTGTAAACATAAACCTATATATCCACCACTGAACGGGACGATCCTTCTCCAATACTGCAAACACTGAACGCTCTACAGACACCCGACGACCCGGTCTGTTTTTGGTTTGTATTGCCTAGGTTTGAGAGTTTCAAGTGTGCACCACGGGATGACGCATCAACGCAAGAATGCCTCAAGAGATCCTCCGGAGTCCACGCGTCACCGCGCCGTTCTCTCGACCACACCTCCCGAACCGGAGGCTACGCAGCCTCCACACAGCCCCCCCCCCCCCCCCCCCCCCCCCCCCCCCCCACACACACAGCCTCCACACAGCGCCCCCCCCCCACGTAATCCAGACACAATAGACGACAGAAAAACAGCACATGTTGCGACCGTGAAACGCCGAGGAAGCAATGACAGCAAATCCCAGCGGAAGCTGAAAGGGATTCTGGGTGACGCACAGGTCTCTAGCAACGATGCCTTCCAGCTGTCTTCATACGACGACCGTGTTGGCGCCTTCCTCTCCCGGTGGACGCACTCCGGGGGTAGATTCCACAAACTCGCGTATGGCACCGCTGTCCCCACACCCCACGCCCAAGTACTGTATGGAGTGGGCGCGAGGATCCTGCCCGCTAGCCTGCACCTCGAGGGCACTCTGCGTGATTGTCACAGCGGGCCTCTTAAAGACGTCAATGCGCGGCGCTCACGTCAACGCGTCGTAAGGAACGCAGGGAGGGGGATCCGGAGTCTGCTCCAAGTTCGTGCAACGGGCGAGGAGGATGAAGCAGATACGTGCGCACACACAACGGGCAAAAACATTCGCATATCGAGAACTTGACCATCGTGTCCGGTCGTTCGCTGATGGAGCATGTGTCGAAAAAAAACGAGGAGCCCCCCCACAAATAAAGGTGGTGCGAGTAGGGGCTGCTCCCAAAACCCCGCAAGGGGGGCGGGGTGACCTGCGGCCAGTGCAAATCAGGTTTTGGGGGAGGATCGGTGCTTTTGGTAAAAAAAACGCCGTGTGGGGTGTGGGGGTAGGGGGCACACGATGCAGGGGATACACTCGCAAACCGCACTCATTCAGGCGGAGGGTCCAACCCACTGTCGCGGTCGGGTGGGGGGGCACGAGGGACGCCGCAGGCGGAGCCCGCTTGAGACGCGCGGGTAACGACCACGTGCCGAGAGAGCCCCCGTGCTGACGCAAGACCGGGGGGAGGGGTAGGGGAGCGGGCCCCACGGGGCTCCTCGGACACAAAACACCCGTCGCACAGACAGCTGAACGCTCGGCGGCACACGGACCGCGTCCGAGACGAGGCCGGACGGCACCGACGACAGATGGGACACGATGGGCGCGAGCGTTTCCCGCCGGGGGTCGGGATCCCGCGAGTGACGGCGCAGGGAAAACAGCGCCAACGATGGGAACCCAGGCGTCGGCGGTTACGGAAGTTCTGGTTAGGGATGCCCTCGTGCGGAGCGAGCCATCACGTGCCCCGCAACGCAGAGGCCTAATGCAGCAGGGGTGGTCGCGCGCTCACAGTTGCGCCTGCTGCTGCGTCGGCTGCTGCGTCGGCTGCTGCGTCGGCTGCTGCGTCGGCTGCTGCGTCGGCTGCTGCGTCGGCTGCTGCGTCGGCTGCTGCGTCGGCTGCTGCGCCTGGGCCCGCGGGCACCGCGCGTGGGGGTCCCCATCGGGCAGGGCGGGCGCGGGGCCCCAGATGCGCACGGTGCCGTCGTCGGAGGCGCTGGCTAACATGGAGGGCACTCGCGGATTCCAGCTGACGCAGCTGACTGCGCGCGTGTGCCCCGCCAGCACCGCCACCGGCTGCTCCTGCTTGCGGTGCCACACGTACACCTTGTGGTCTGTGCGCACACCCACAAAGACAAAGATCCCCCCCACCCCGTATAGGCGTCGGGGCAAGTGATGTTGGGGAGCAGCACCCACGAAGGCTGCAACGGCACACGAGGCGGTGCGGCCAGCACCACGCCCAGCCACCTTTGTTTCCCCAGCGTTGACGTTTACACACAGTACCAGGTATTCGTTTAAGGATGAGTCAACCTTGGGTACGTCCACGATAAGGTTCAGTTATTCAGCACTGATATTAGACATGAGCGAAAATCGAATTCGGGGCATCTGTGATAACCATTACGTGCCACCGCTCCCCACAATATCAGCAAAGACAAAGATCCCCCCATATAGCCTTAACAGACTGTTGGGGCAAGAGCTGTGAGTGAGCACCAATGAAGGCTGGCATGGCACACCAGGGGGTGGGTGGCCAACACCACGCCGGGTCACCTTTATCTTCCTAGTAGCGATGTTTACACACTGCACCAGGTGCTAATTTGAGGCTGAAATGACCTAGGAGAGGCCCAGGGCTGGTTCAAATAATCACTGATGCTGGTCATGAGCGAGAGTTGAACTCGGGTCGCCAGGTTCGTCGTGCAACGCGCTAACCGCTACCCTACCGTTCCCCACAATGTCAGCACACGCGAGCACACTCAACCCCCGGCCCCTGGGGGGGGAGGGGGCGGGAGAGGGGAGGGGCGATGACCCCCCCCCCCCCCCCCCCCGTGTATCCACCATGCCGGGACCTGCCTTCACTGCCGCTCGCCACAAAGTCCTCGTTGGGGCCTCCAAAGCACGAGTGGATCGTGTAGAGGCCCTGTGTGATGCCCTGGTACTTCCTGACGAGCGCGCGCTCATGGAGGTCCCACAGGTGCACGCCCTGCACACACGTACACGCACGTGCGCGCCAGACACGCACGCAAGTCTATATACACGAGCGTGTGCACCAGGACGCGCAATGCCTTCAACAGACTGTAGGGGCAAGTGCCGTTAGCAAAGACCTAAAAAAGACCGGCACAGCACACGATGGGGTGGGTGGGTGGCCAGCAATGCTCCTGGCCAGGCCAGTAATACTGATTTTTACGCCCTGTACCATGGTATTCCTTTTATAAGGCTGAGTCACCATAGGGGAGGCCCAGAACCGGTTCAGATATTCTTCAGATGTTAATAATAGTGTCAGTTTGTAACGCGCCGCCGAAGTGCTCGCTCAATCTCAAGCGTTTGAGCGACTTGGGAGGCGCGAGGGAGCAGACAAGCCAGATGGCAGCTACACGATGAGCTGCCGCCAACAACTGCCGACGCTCTGCAGTCCTCTATATATAAAGATGTTTTCAGCCTATTAATGCCGAGTATTTTTACACATGCGGGAGGACACCAGAGCACCCAGAGGAAACTCGTGCGGACAGGCCGTGAGCAGGAATCGAACTCTCACCACTGCACTACCAGTACATGCAGACCTCGCTTAGCGCGATCACGTGGAAAGCTGATTTGTTATAGCGCTCTTTGTCCTGGAGAAAATAATTACCTTGAAAAATTTAATTAAAAAAATCTAGACAGCGCTTACAAGTGACAGCGCGCAGCGGCGCTGGCCCGAGAAAACGTCACCTCGCCCCCATCGCTCGCTCAGCCAATGAGAGCGATGCATGCTCTCAGCCAACCAGAGCCCACCCCCCGCGATTCGATTATCACCATTTGTCATCGGGATAGAGTCTCAGGCGCCACCTCAAAAGAAATCTCACCACAGGATTTTAGACTGAGGGCATCGCTAAGACCACGCAGGTCCTGGAGCTCTTCTCTGAGCCTGGGAGCGTAACGGCAGTGGTGGGGGAGCTTTAACTATATCAGTAAGTATTATGTACTGTACTCAATGATGAAATTACAATAAAGTATTTGTATTTAGTAAACAATATTTACCATCTGTATACGAGCGCTATTATCAATACCTCAATGTATTTCTCATACGAACGGAATAACCTTGTCGAGAATGCATCGCCATGAATACAAATGTATGACGAGCGCTTTTAGTGCTGATTCGTACAAACACACAAGATCCCTGTATATCCTTTAACAGACTGTTGAGGCAAGTTCTGTTAGCGAGTAGCAACTATTAAGGCTGGCCCGGCTCATGAGGGGTTTGGTGTGGCTAGGACCATGCACGGTCGCCTTCTTCTCCCCAGTGCTGACAATGTACGCATCAATCCAGGTATGCATTTTAAGGCTGAGTAAGCCTAGGAGACGCCTAGGAAAAGGTTCAGACTACCGTTTATTGGCCGTGAGCGGGAGTCGATCTCGGGTTGCAGGGTTTGTAGCGCAGTGGGCTAACTACTACGCCACCGTTCCCCACATTGCAGAATACACACGCACAACACACGCACAACACAAGCACGCATTTCCTACTCAGGCACACTGCTGTGCGTCTTGTCGAGGCACGAAGTGAGAACCGGTTTTTTCCCTTGCCTTCTGCATGCACTCGGCTCAGCCAGGCCACACAGCGTCATCGCGTGCAACAATCAGTGTTCCAAATCCTCCCTCTAGTCTGCCCAGAGGGCAATCATCCTCCTCTACAGGACCCATTCCAGTCTGCACCTGTCCTCTGCATTTACACGCTGGGCTGTGTCGGGTGCCTCCTTCGGACGTCACTGGACAGGCAGCAACCTCTGTGGAAACGGGATGGAGGAGGGAGGATGGCGGGAAGACGGAGGAGGGAGGTGGAGGGGGGAGGAAGGAGGGGTGAGGAGGGAAGATGACACCGCTGCCACGCTCACCTGTGTGGCCACGTTGATTAGTGCCAGCCGGTCATCCTTGGACACGCTGAAGGTCATGATGGGGTGGTCCTCCTGGATCCTGCGTGCACAGCAGACACAACCTCCGTCGCGCACGGCTCCCGCGTAAACCACGGCCGGCGGTTTTTACGGCGCTACACCCGCAGCGAGCATCCGCACCCGGTGGCACTGACCACGCGCGCAGCACCCGTTCAGTCGCTTCGCGGCAGGGCCAGGGCCCTCTGTCGCACCGTGGCGGTCATTTTGACCGTGATTCACTATGCCGCTCGGTGCGGGGTTGGCGAAGGCGGGGGAGAGCATGGATGCGGGAGTACGGTACAGTACAATGGGTTTTGCTGCCAGCGCTGCCCAGCAACGTAGGCCCTCGGGTGCCTGCGATCACCCTCTGCACGCACGGCGGTCACACATCCAAGGACCAAATCGCGTGGTCGTCTTGGAAACCACGTGTGACCAAGTTCATGTGTTGCTGCTGCTGCTGCTGCCCACGTGCCAGTGGTCGGTTCAGTTGCGAGTTCACTCTGCCAGCGCTGTGGGACTTGGGTCACGTTTGTGTGCGAGGCGCGACACCCGTCCAGCAACGAAAGACGATGGTGATGAACAAATGAGCCCAGCCTCTCGTCAGATCTCACAAGCCAAGCGGGATTCAGCGTGGGCTGCAATAAACGCAGTGCAGAGATCATCATCCTCACAGTGGATTTTTAGCTAGCCATCGAACAAAGATGGTCACTGCACCTGCAGCCGTCTGGAACGCTCTTCCGATATCAGGAAGCCATCTTCTTTGGTTCTTTCGGTAAAGTCACGTAGAATGAGAATAAAATAATAAATTAATAAAATAACACAATAAAATTCTCACGACGTTTCGGCCACAACACAAGTAGGCTTCTTCAAGTGAAAGGAACAGACCTGTCGGGACGACAGAGCTTCAATGTCGTCCCGACAGGTCTGTTCCTTTCACCTGAAGAAGGCCACTTGTGTTGTGGCCGAAACGTCTTGAGAATTTTATTGTGTTATTTCATTTTATTAATTTATTATTTTATTCTCATTCTACGTGACTTGACCGAAAGAACCAAAGAAGATGAATCCTTGCAGTCACGAAAGCTTTAAATCGAAATCAGGAAGCCAATGGAGCTATAAGGACTTTTAAATCTAAATTGAAAACGAATTTATTTCTAAGTTTTTTTTAATGTTTAGTTTGTTGTCCTTACCCCACAACTTCGTTGAGCACAGCTGGCTATGTACGATGTGAAATAAATGCAAGGTACATCAAAGCCATTTTATTATTCTGGTATGGCCAATGAAGAGCAGCCACTAAAGCACAATTGCATATGCACATTCACACACAGAAAGTTGTTTTATCTCATGCACACACTTACACACTAACACAGACACCCTCACACACAGCCATGTAAAACACTAACGTAAACACACACAAAGACAAAGACCCCCCCCCCCCCCACCGTACAGCCTGAACAGACTTAGCTCCTATAAAGGCCGGCACGGCACACGAGGGGGTGGGTGGTCAACACCACGCCCGGCCGCCTTTGTCTCCCGAGTGGTGATGTTTACACACTGCACCAGGTACTCATTTGAGGCTAAGTTGACCTAGCTTCAGATAATCGCCACTGGTGTTGACCGTGAGCGGGAATCGAACTCAGGTCGCGGGGTTCGTAGCGCAGCACTCTAGCCGCTACACTACCGCTCCCCACCCGCTACACTACCGCTCCCCACCCGCTACACTACCGCTCCCCACCCGCTACACTACCGCTCCCCACCCGCTACACTACCGCTCCCCACCCGCTACACTACCGCTCCCCACCCGCTACACTACCGCTCCCCACCCGCTACACTACCGCTCCCCACCCGCTACACTACCGCTCCCCACCCGCTACACTACCGCTCCCCACCCGCTACACTACCGCTCCCCACCCGCTACACTACCGCTCCCCACCCGCTACACTACCGCTCCCCACCCGCTACACTACCGCTCCCCACCCGCTACACTACCGCTCCCCACCCGCTACACTACCGCTCCCCACCCGCTACACTACCGCTCCCCACCCGCTACACTACCGCTCCCCACCCGCTACACTACCGCTCCCCACCCGCTACACTACCGCTCCCCACCCGCTACACTACCGCTCCCCACCCGCTACACTACCGCTCCCCACCCGCTACACTACCGCTCCCCACCCGCTACACTACCGCTCCCCACCCGCTACACTACCGCTCCCCACCCGCTACACTACCGCTCCCCACCCGCTACACTACCGCTCCCCACCCGCTACACTACCGCTCCCCACCCGCTACACTACCGCTCCCCACCCGCTACACTATTGCTCCCCACCCGCTACACTACCGCTCCCCACCCGCTACACTACCGCTCCCCACCCGCTACACTACCGCTCCCCACCCGCTACACTACCGCTCCCCACCCGCTACACTACCGCTCCCCACCCGCTACACTACCGCTCCCCACCCGCTACACTACCGCTCCCCACCCGCTACACTACCGCTCCCCACCCGCTACACTACCGCTCCCCACCCGCTACACTATTGCTCCCCACCCGCTACACTATTGCTCCCCACCCGCTACACTACCGCTCCCCACCCGCTACACTACCGCTCCCCACCCGCTACACTACCGCTCCCCACCCGTTACACTACCGCTCCCCACCCGCTACACTACCGCTCCCCACACGCTACACTACCGCTTCCCACCCGCTACACTACCGCTCGCAACCCGCTACACTACCGCTCCCCACCCGCTACACTACCGCTCCCCACCCGCTACACTACCGCTCCCCACCCGCTACACTACCGCTCCCCACCCGCTACACTACCGCTCCCCACCCGCTACACTACCGCTCCCCACCCGCTACACTACCGCTCCCCACCCGCTACACTACCGCTCCCCACCCGCTACACTACCGCTCCCCACCCGCTACACTACCGCTCCCCACCCGCTACACTACCGCTCCCCACTCGCTACACTACCGCTCCCCACCCGCTACACTACCGCTCCCCACCCGCTACACTACCGCTCCCCACCCGCTACACTACCGCTCCCCACCCGCTACACTACCGCTCCCCACCCGCTACACTACCGCTCCCCACCCGCTACACTACCGCTCCCCACCCGCTACACTACCGCTCCCCACCCGCTACACTACCGCTCCCCACCCGCTACACTACCGCTCCCCACCCGCTACACTACCGCTCCCCACCAGCTACACTACCGCTCCACACCCGCTACACTACCGCTCCCCACCCGCTACACTACCGCTCCCCACCCGCTACACTACCGCTCCCCACCCGCTACACTACCGCTCCCCACCCGCTACACTACCGCTCCCCACTCGCTACACTACCGCTCCCCACCCGCTACACTACCGCTCCCCACCCGCTACACTACCCCTCCCCACCCGCTACACTACCGCTCCCCACCCGCTACACTACCGCTCCCCACACGCTACACTACCGCTCCTCACCCGCTACACTACCGCTCGCAACCCGCTACACTACCGCTCCCCACCCGCTACACTACCGCTCCCCACCCGCTACACTACCGCTCCCCACCCGCTACACTACCGCTCCCCACCCGCTACACTACCGCTCCCCACCCGCTACACTACCGCTCCCCACCCGCTACACTACCGCTCCCCACCCGCTACACTACCGCTCCCCACCCGCTACACTACCGCTCCCCACCCGCTACACTACCGCTCCCCACCCGCTACACTACCGCTCCCCACCCGCTACACTACCGCTCCCCACCCGCTACACTACCGCTCCCCACCCGCTACACTACCGCTCGCAACCCGCTACACTACCGCTCCCCACCCGCTACACTACCGCTCCCCACCCGCTACACTACCGCTCCCCACCCGCTACACTACCGCTCCCCACCCGCTACACTACCGCTCCCCACTCGCTACACTACAGCTCCCCACCCGCTACACTACCACTCCCCACCCGCTACACTACCACTCCCCACCCGCTACACTACCGCTCCCCACCCGCTACACTACCGCTCCCCACCCGCTACACTACCGCTCCCCACCTGACACACTACCGCTCCCCACCCGCCACACTACCGCTCCCCACCCGCTACACTACCACTCCCCACCCGCTACACTACCACTCCCCACTCGCTACACTACCGCTCCCCACCCGCTACACTACCGCTCCCCACCCGCCACACTACCGCTCCCCACCCGCCACACTACCGCTCCCCACCCGCCACACTACCGCTCCCCACCCGCCACACTACCGCTCCCCACCCGCCACACTACCGCTCCCCACCCGCTACACTACCGCTCCCCACCCGCTACACTACCGCTCCCCACCCGCTACACTACCGCTCCCCACCCCCTACACTACCGCTCCCCACCCGCTACACTACCGCTCCCCACCCGCATATCCACCCACCCACCATCACAGACCAGAGAAACAGTTTGTAAGTTTCCACTTGTACATTCGGAATCCGCATTGAGCCTACGAATGATGGCAATGGGGGTACCGAGAGGAGGGGGAGAGAGTGGGTGGTGGTGGTGGCGGTGGTGGGACGGGGAGGCGCGGGGGGGGGGGGGGGTACCCACAAGGCCCGGTCCGTGACGTCCTCAAAGTTGTAGCTGCAGATGCGCTGGTGCGTGTCTGACGCCAGCACAGATTTCCCGTCGGCCGAGCACCAAACGCACTGGATGCGCACGCCCTGCCACGACTCCAGCACCGTCCCGTTCAGGTCCTGTCGCGCGCGGACAATCGAACAAATAACAACGATCGTCATGTCAGGGTCGTTGTCGCGATGACGGTGTCTTTGTGATCGCTTGCCTGTCGCGCCGGGGCGAGTGCACGCCAATCGGCGACAACGCAACTATGCAGCTCGCAATGAGCGACTACGCGGGCCGCGATCACGTAGCCCGCGGACGAGCGACGACTCAAAGCGCGTCGCGCTACGCGACAGCGCACGCCGCCGCCGCCGCCGCCACTTACCACTGGCCTGGAAGGCCGCCGGCGGAAATAAAACTTCACCTCTCCATTAAGGCACAAAGTGCTCCTCTTCCATGCTCCTATACCAAGGGTATACATACGCGCTATGCAAGTACACGACATATAGGTACGCATTACCAACGTGTGCGTAACATATATATGCGCGCGACAGACGGACATGTTATGTTTGCTTGATACATATAGGATATACTTACGCAACATATATACAGGCTATACGTATGCAATGCACGCACAGAATATAAACATAGGATGTAAGTTCGCGATACATGATACACGTACACGATATATGTACAGGATATACGATATATGTACAGGGTATATGATATATATACCACCATTACAAGTTAGGGAATGGGGCATACAAACTTGTGCAGAGAAGACGTAAGATGCCACCGATAATACTAACAAGACTGAACACGAGCAACGCACCAGCAGGGCTAGAATACCGACACTCGCACCGGTATAACTGAGCATGGAAAATCACAGATGCACACACACACACACAAGACTCGTGGACTCGCATAGAGACTCGCTCACCAACTCACAGACTCGCTCACCAACTCACAGACTCGCTCACCAACTCACAGACTGGCTCACCAACTCACAGACTCGCTCACCAACTCACTGACTGGCTCACCAACTCACAGACTCGCTCACCAACTCATAGACTCGCATAGAGACTCGCTCACCAACTCACAGACTCGCTCACCAACTCACAGACTCGCAAACAGACTCGCTCAACAACTCCCAGACTCGCTCACCAACTCCCAGACTCGCAAACGGACTCGTCGACTCACACACTGGTAGAACTGTCCACGCTGGCCGCCTGTGCAGAAGCGCCGGCTGTCCGGGAACCAGGAGGCGCACACGAGGCTGTCATCGTGCGACTGCGACATCTTCACACGCAGCACCCCGGTCTGCAACGCCCACAGCACAACAGCGTCACCACTCATCACCACCGCACAACCACATCACCACTCATCACCACAACACGACCACATCACCACTCATCACCACATCACCACTCATCACCACCGCACAACCACATTACCACTCATCACCACAACACAACCACATCACCACTCATCACCACAACACAACCACATCACTACTCATCACCACAACACAACCACATCACCACTCATCACCACAACACAACCACATCACCACTCACCACCATAACACAACCACATCACCACTCATCACAACTCAACCACATCACCACTCATCACCACAACACAACCACATCACCACTCATCACCACAACACAACCACATCACCACTCATCACCACAACACAACCACATCACCACTCATCACCACAACACAACCACATCACCACTCACCACCATAACACAACCACATCACCACTCATCACAACTCAATCACATCACCACTCATCACCACAACACAACCACATCACCACTCATCACCACAACACAACCACACCACCACCACAACACAACCACATCACCACTCATCACAACCACATCACCACTCATCACAACTCAACCACATCACCACTCACCACCACAACAACACAACCACACCACCACCACCGCACAACCACACCACCACTCATCACCACAACACAACCACATCACCACACACCACCATACACAACCACATCACCACTCACCACCATAACACAACCACACACCAAAACTCACCACCACATCACAACCACAACACCACTCACCACCACCGCACAACCACACCACCACTCATCACCACAACACAACCACACCACCACTCATCACCACACACAACCACATCACCATTCACCACCACAACCACACACCAAAACTCACCACCACAACACAACCACATCACCACTCATCACAACACTACCACATCACCACTCACCACCACATCACCACTCATCACCACAACACAACCACACCACCACTCACCACCACCGCACAACCACATCACCACTCATCACAACACAATCACATCACCACTCATCACCACAACCACACCACCACTCACCACCACAACACAACCACACCACCACTCACCACCACAACACAATCACATCACCACTCACAACCACAACACAACCACACCACCACTCATCACCACAACCACACCACCACTAACCATCACAACACAACCACACCACCACTCACCACCACCGCACAACCACATCACCACTCATCACAACACAATAACATCACCACTCATCACCACAACCACACCACCACTCACCACCACAATACAACCACACCACCACTCACCACCACAACACAATCACATCACCACTCACAACCACAACACAACCACACCACCACTCACCACAACACAACCAAATCACCACTCATCACCACAACACAACCACACCACCACTCACTACCACAACCACACCACCACTCACTACCACAACACAACCACACCACCACTCATCACCACAACCATATCACCAGACATCACCACAACACAACCACAACACCACAACACAACCACATCACCACTCACCACCACAACAACACCACCACTCATCACCACAACACAACCACACCACCACTCACCACCACAACACAACCACACCACCACTCACCACAGCAACAACACAACCACACCACCACTCATCACCACAACACCACCCATCACCACAACACAACCACACCACCATTCATCACCACAACACAACCACATCACCACCACAACACAACCACACCACCACTCATCACCACACACAACCACATCACCACTCACCACCACAACACAACCACACCACCACTCATCACCACAACACAACCACACCACCACTCATCACCACAACACAACCACACCACCACTCATCACCACAACACAACTACATCACCACTCACCACCACAACACAACCACACCACCACTCATCACCACAACACAACCACAGCACCATTCATCACAACACAACCACACCACCACTCATCACCACAACACAACTACATTACCACTCATCACACACACACACCTGTGTGTTCCACAGCCATAGCTCGGAGCAGTCATCGGGCCCGCAGGCAATGAGGTGCGTGTCGTCCGGGCTCCATGCGAGGTAGGAGACTCCGTACGTGTGTCCCTCCAGCGTGTGCGCCACCTTGAGCTGATGGCTCTCCTGCCACACGCACACGTGCTCACTCAGCGCTGGTGGCGCGCGGGGGGAGACTAAACTAAACTATACTACTTTTCTTATTTTACCACGTAGGGCCCACTGAGCTGTATAGCTCCATCTTATTCAACTGATGAAAGAGAAATACGGGGGAACTCAGCTCTTTCAACTTGCCTAGTTCTGGCCGTTAACCCCGATTCTGTTCATTTCCGGCTGTACATACACGGTCCATTGGGATCTATGATAGGAATTCGCCTTCCAAATTGTAATTATCTTCGTATTTTGATGATTGAGTGAGTCGAAACTAAACACCAAACAATTTTTATTTTACCAGGTAAGGCCCGCCGAGCTGGAAAGCTCTTTTTCAGAACCGACCTGGCGACAAATGATAGCTGAACGAAGTGGCTCATCATCATGTGGACAGTTATTGCAGCCAAATACTCTTAAACACAAGTTGACTCTTAATGTGGAGGGAAAAACTGGACCCGGACAAAAATCCACGTGACCACGGGGAGAGAGACACACAAAACCCCAAATAAACAGGCGTCAGGGTCGGGATTGAACCCACGACCTCCTGTAAACCAGGCGAGGTAGTAAACAGACGCCTGCAACCCGCACGCCATACTGCGCCACGCTCAGGAAACTGTTCCTACGTGTCAACTCCGCAAACGCGGAGACAACCGATTGCTTACTCAGCGCAACAAGTGGGGGGAGGGGGAAGCTGTGAGAACCGGGCCCCACCTGCTCCACCAGCCAGATGATGACGGTGGAGTCCTTGGAGCCCGTGGCGAGCCGCGTGCCGTCATTGGAGAACTTGCAGAACCACACCTCGTTGCAGTGCTCCGTGAGCACCTGGCGCGTGTGGCTCGGGAAGTTCTTCCTGCGGGGGGGGGGGGCGCGCGCACCGGGGCCGCGGCGGGGGAGGACACGTGGCCACCGCGGGGTCAATCGTGCTCAAGGATGGGGGTCAGGGAGTGGGAGGGGGGGTGTAGGACGACAACCCGAGTAAGATCACAACCAGGGTCTTCATCTACTCAACCAGGGTCTTCATCTACTCAACCAGGGTCTTCATCTACTCACGCAAGCACACATCGACTTCTTGACGGCCAAAGTGACTGTCAAAGAGAAAGCAGAGAGAGCGAGACGAAGACCCCGAGTTGGGGCCTGGGTGAGGGTCACGGTGCACGGGGCGGGCTCGTGCGAAACACTGCTGGTTGGACAGGTGGAAGAGAGGTCTCTGGGTGATCTTCTCCTCGGCGTGTTTGATTCGTACGCCTTGCTCCTAACGGATCCACGCTGCTTCTGCTGCAGGCTCCGAGAGGCGCTAGTGGCTGCAGCATAGAAGCATTGATCCTTGAGTCACAGCGCGATCGCAAATGTATGTCCGTTGAACTTCTTTCGCACCGTACGTAGCCAACCGCGCCAATCGGTGCGAGGAGCGCCTCGCAATGGCACGGTTGCAAAATCAAGCCCTAGTTTGGGGTTGACTCCGCCATCGTCCCTCCCTCCGGGGTTGATAAAATGAGCACCACATTTGGTATCAACAGTGGTTGTCCTATGGGGTAGACTAACCCCCGCCATAGGAATTTGAAATTTTGTACCTCTGGCTAAGGGCAATAAACAGGAGATGAGCACCAATGCCTCAATGCTCTGACTTCGACAACCCCACACAAAGGCAGTGTGCCCCGATGTGTCCCACAGTGTGGTGCGTCCCACAGTGTGGTGCGTCCCACAGTGTGGTGCGTCCCACAGTGTGGTGCGTCCCACAGTGTGGTGCGTCCCACAGTGTGGTGCGTCCCACAGTGTGGTGCGTCCCTCGGCGTGGTGCGTCCCACAGTGTGGTGCGTCCCACAGTGTGATGCGTCCCACAGTGTGGTGCGTCCCACGGCGTGGTGCGTCCCACGGCGTGGTGCGTCCCACAGTGTGCCCCGCAGCGCACCGCACCGGCTGCAGTAGTGGTCGTGCAGCAGGCAGGCGTCCGGCAGGTCCAGCTGCAGGCGCGAGTTATGGTAGAGGCAGCGCTGCTGCTGCAGTTCCACCGCCTGCTGCAGCAGCGTATGCAGGCGGCGCGGGGGCAGCATCACCGACGGCGGCAGGAATGCTGCGCACGCCGCGCCCACCGGGAACAACCGCACACACACCAGTCAGCGCCCGTGGACACCGTGGGGTCAATGGTGGTGGAACAGGAGGTAGTGGTGCAGCTCTGCTCGTGCCACTGCTGGTGGAAATGGTCTCCAGATCCCCTCCAGAGCGGTGGTTCCCTAACCCTGCTGGACCGGCGCACCACTGCCAACCCTCGATCCAATGTGCGCACCACCCCGCACCAATAACAGCTATGTCATACTCTTTATTAGAGCAAAAAGTTTTGCTGGCTGCCTGGCAGGCTGACGAGTGGGCGGGCAAGTGCGCGGTGGTGACTTCGCCCGCATCCCACAGCGTTGAGAAGGGTTCGTGCGCGTTGTCACGGCTCCCCCCGCCCACCCACCACCCGGCCGTCTATCGTGCGCACATGCGTGTGCAGTGCTGGCCAAGCTTAACAGGACTCGTAGTTAAATGCCTCATCTGCTACTGCTGCTCCGCTAGCAGTGGTGCATCAGCACATATAACAATAAAATGCAGTAATAAAAACACTGGAGCCGACAGTTTGGGCAATGGCCCTACATCATAGTGCATAAACGATCCTCTACAGTTCTTTCAGGCTAGATTGCGTAAACATAAATGTGTGGTTAAACCGTTAATGTAGTCATATAATATGTAGTCATCTACTGTATGACTACGTTAACCCACCCCATTGTCTTCGCACCTGATAGTCTCAAGTGATGACATCACCTGTACTCCCCTATTTAAGACTGAAACAGAACTTCTTTACAATTCTGGCTATCGCCTGATGAGGCCGGTTGTAATCACCAGCGAAACGTCATGGTACTCGAATTGTAAATATTGTGGGTTTACTCTCGCTGAACTCGTTACTAATTGGCACATTTTTTTTACGTGACAAACTTTACTAAGTGGCTGTGTCGGGTGGTAGCGGGCTTAACGACACATTTATATTTACGTGATCTAACCCAAAAAACCTTTGTTATGGAAAATATTGGTCGCGAAAGCCAACGTGTTAATACTTCTATAGTTCTAAGGATCACTTCTAATGACCTTGCGGGGTGCCAGTGGTCCGCAGACTGCAGGTTGAGAATCACCGCTATACAGAAGGTCATTTGGCCTACTCTTCCACGCTGGACAGAGCAGTGGGGAGTACCCACATTTCACCCTACCATACCGGACCTGCCGATCAACTGTGGGAGACTTTTGTGGGAAAAGGTGGTGGAGGAGGGCGAGAAGGTGGGGTCCCATGTGAGAGGGGACTCTGGGCGAGAGAGTGAGGGGCCTCACCCTGCAGTTTCTCCAGGAGCCGGCATCTGGAGGTCGGGCCCTTGCCGTCCCAGGAGGCCTTGTCCCTCAGCTCCTCGGCGGTGCTGCACATCAGGTACCTGGGGAATGGCACAGGTATACAATCGACACTCAGCGGTGTCCACTATGGCTGGGCTACTCCAGGTGGACAATGGGAATGGCCACGTCACCCCGACACAGCACTATAAGCGTGAACAAAGTCACCGCATGAATAGCGTGCGCAGCGTCGCTCAGTGTGTGTGTGGTGTCACTTGGTGCTTGTGTGCGTGCGCTGTCACTTGGTGTGTGCTGTGTCACTCGGTCTATGTGCGGTGTCCCCCCCTGGCAAGGCGTGCAGTGCCCACCCACCCGCTAAGCTCGTGGATTCTCTCCGTGTTGTGCTTGAGTGGCGTGAGGTCCTGGCGTAGCACGGTGAGTGCTTCCAGGAGTTTCCCGTCCTCCAGGTGCTCCAGGTACTTCTGCTCAAGCAGCAGGAACTTCATGTGCTGAGGGCATGGGTCCCACGGGGGACAGCATCGAAGACAGCAGCCGGAAGAGCAGTGGGCACAGCATTAGGGCACCGAGTTACGAACACAACCACACGTCTCACCGGGCACGGCATTTCGTCACCCCAACACTCCACTGGCTCCCAAGCCAACCCAGCATCAATTTCAATATCGCACGCTCACCATCTCAAACATCCTGTGGACCCACCCCTGCCTAACACTTCCTACGTATCTCACTCTACTCCCCTCCACACAATCTTCCCTTTCCGCTCTACCCTCACTCTACTCCCCATCCAGTCTCCTACCTCTCCCCTCTCATCTCACTCTACTCGCTTCCACGCACTCTCCTACCTCTCCCCTCTAATTTCACTCTACTCCCCTTCACACTCTCCTACCTCTCCCCTCTCATCTCACCCTACTTTCTCCACGCGCGCTCCACTCCAGTAACCAATGTTTTCCATCTTAGCCCCCAGTCAACCTTCACTCAGTGTGACGTCACTCATTCTCCTCTGCTGCCCCTCATCGTCTGTCTGGAACGTTCTCTCCCTGGTTTACATGCTGCCAACTCGCTAACCCTGTTCAGCGTCTTCAGATGTGGTTGCATTTATCCCCTGTAGAAGTCCAAGGAGTCTCCTGCTTACCACAACTCCATTTGGTGAATTCATCAGCAGCTTCAACTCACCAAGGTCCTTCTCAGCCTAAAATAAAACACACAGCAACAATAACAGCCGCTATTCACCGCGAATTGGCGGTGACATCACCATAGTGTTTGTGCTAGCCTAGGGGCAATTTGAAGATATCAAGTGAAGTGTGGAAGGCTTGCTGCTGGCAGGAGACCACGGGACAACCCCAGGTTGTTATGGGTTGACTGATTGAGCTGACTGGCAGATGCACCACCTGTGCTCCTCACTGTGCCACATTGCTGCGTTTTAAATGCCCTGCACTGGTTGTGAGCTTCACTCCTCTGCCCTCCGCTGTAGTTGGATGGAAACTGCCTCCAACTGCCCAGTAGTATTCTTCACAAACCTCATCCAGACGCCGATTTTGACACTGCTGGCAGCAGTCATCGGCAAGTTCACTCAGCTCCACATCCTACTGTATGATATCAGTCCATATTTTTCTAGACCATGCTGTGCCAGTTTAACACACTCTATCCAGCCAAACAGAAGCTGCTTGGCCATGCAGTGGTTGGGCAATGGGCTACATGAAACAGACAATGCAGCCTTGGCTCCTGCGGGAGCCCACTTACGGGACTTTTGTTCAGATCTGCGAGCTCCTCTCACAAACCAGTTTGGTTAAACGAAGGATGAACTGCAGGCAGGCCAGCCTGAATAATTCAAATAGGTCCTGGCATACACATAGAAAGACAAGGATCCCCCTATAGCTTTAACATACTCTTTTGTGTGGTGCCCGTGTGGTGTGGTGGTGTGATGCCCGTGTGGTGCCCGTGCAGTGCAGTGCGGTGCCCGTACCGTGTGCCCGTGTGGTGCGGTGCCCTACAGTGTCGGGTGCGGTGCACGTGCGGTGTGGTGCTCGTGCGGTGTGCCCGTGTGGTGTGGTCCCAGTGCGGTGTGCCCGTGTGGCTGTTGGGTGCACTGTGTCTCGCGAGCGAGCGTGCTGGTTGTGCAATTTGGCAGTCCGTGCCTTTTCCCACTCCCCGTCCATCGCGTGGCTCCGGAACCTGGATGCGGCCGGGTGCTCCAGTCGACAGCCAGACTCCTCCACGAGCCTCTGCACCGTTTGTCTGTGGGGGGAGAGGGGGTGGGCAACCATGGCACGTGCACCGTCAGCCCCCTCCCCTGCCGGGCGGTAGTGACTACGCACGTGGCCTGTAATCCATCATTGAGGAGGAGAGGGTTATGGGATGACACAAATTAATGTGAAACGCTCTTCCTGTGCGAGCAGAGGTGCCACACCCTGGCTCGCCAGAAGGCGGTACAACAAAGTGCCCTTGATCTGTACCGTCCGTACAGGAGAGTGCTGCCCCCTCGTACACGTGGATTTTCTCCAGATGCTCCGATATCCTTCCACAAGCAGACACTCATCATCAAACTGGCCGATACCACCTTCATATACAGAGGACTGCAGAGCTTTAGGGTGAATTTGATGGTGGCACATTGCGTGGCCGCTGCTGCCTTCCCACTTGTCTGTGGTTCCTCGTGCTTCCAAGTCGCTCTCTTTGAGTGAACGAATACTGAGCGGTGGTGGCATGTTACAAACTGAAATCATTACGGGTGGCCACTGCAGGAGCCTCTCCCAGGATCTCTCCGCTTGCCAAGGACATTAAGTTTGCGAATTCGCAATGGTGGGGGGAGGTGGGGGGTGAAGCTATGTTGAAGTTGGTGGCCACGTGGCTATAGAGACCCACGTCAAGTAGCAAGGGGCCTACGGGGTCATGATATGAATTTAGGGGCTCAAGTCTATATATGGATTGCTGCCCCCTCTTAATGCGTTCAAGCTGATCTGGTGGCAGTGTGGTTGGTTTATGATGCACAATTGCAAGCCCATGAGTTCAAATCCTGGTCAGGGGCTGACTCAGCCCTTCATCGACATCACCAGCCACTATCAATCCACTGCTGGTTTAGGGACATCAAAAGGCCATGTCCCTCTCATGCTCCTGCGATGTAACAATCCCGACTTGCCCCCAACAGTGCAGCCTGTAACCCATCCCTGCAGGGTGGATGAAATAAGTACCGTATTGTGGTAATCCAATTGTGGTTGTCACTCTTGGCCGAGGACAAGGAGAGTTGGCGATGCCATGCTCGTTAGAGTCGATCAGCAACGTGAGTGTTTCAAGTGAGCTGTCTACAAGTGTGCGTTGAAGGGGGGGGGGGGGGCTATTACACCCCCCCAATCTTGCTATTCCACGCGGCCCTCACACTGGATTCCGAGCCTCTGCGGCTATGGGGGAGCCCAGCAGGTTAAACATTAATTGGACTGCGTACGCAGCGGCGAGCGGCATTCACGAGCGCACGCACACACAACACCACACAGCTCAGCCGCTGATGAATCCAGAAAAGACGTTCACAATATGGTGACCTGCTTTGGCAGGAGCCCTCCTCCTCGTGTACGTGCGTGCCCGCTACCCAAAATGTTGGCCCCGATATGTATTTACGCAGTCACCGTCCACGGTCCTACCCACTGCCAGACGAAGGCCTTGTGAACGTGACGGACGCCTCGAGATATTTCTGCTTCGCGTCGGCGGGGACCTTCGTATCCCCGCTGACCAGGACGCATCCCCGCTGACCAGGACGCATCCCCGCCCGCCCGCCCCATCACTTGGCGGTCGCGAACCCTGGGGAAGTGGGGGTTGGGGGTGCCTTGGACTCACGTGAGGCCAAGGCCCTGCAGGTGCTGCCCGACCAGGCGGATCACGTCCTCATCCGTGCGGCTCATCCTGCGTGGCCGCGGTCTCCTCGGGGTCCCCTCCCCCGGGTGCCCGGGGCCCAACGCGCCCTTGATAGCCCCCTGCTGCAGGGCCGAGGGGCATGGGCCCTGCATGGCCGCTGCCGCTGCCGACTCTCGCCTGCGCCGCTTGCGGGGCGGAGCGCCGCTCCTCGCTCCTCCGTCCTCCGAGTCCGAAGACGAGGCCAGAGTGGAGCCTCGCCCGCCCGGGGCGGCGGGGAGGAGGTGGAGGTGAGGATCAGGGCCAGACCCGGCCCAGGATCAGCCTCAGAACGAGAGCCAGATCGAGAGTCGAGCCAGCCCAGAACCACCGCTAAAACAAAACCAGACCTGGACCCGTGCCAGTCCAGACCCGGGACAATCCGCGACCGGCCCAGAATGAGACCCAGAGCCGCCAGACGAGAACTGGGCGAGACGCAAGAAAGAGTGGCGGAGTGGAACCAGATTCCAGACTCAGTAGCGCACCTAGGCCAGAGGCGGGTGCGAAACAACCGAGAACCAATCCAGACTGAACCCAAACGCGACCCGGATCGGAGAGGACCGATAAACCAAGACTCTGTAGTCGAGTCGAGCCGAGAGAAGAACCAACCCCGAACACGGAGCTAGACCCGGCTACCGAGCCTCTGAGCCAGACCCGGACCAGAAAGGCTCCAAGGAGACCCGGACCCAAAGAAAGCCGAGCGCGTTCCACCCGGACCGCAGCTGGCGGGACCCGCGCGCGCGCCGCCCCCCAACCCCCCCCACACCCCACCCCACTCCGCGGCTCACCTTACATTCCGTAGTGCGCACGTGCGGCCGCCTCGCGCAATCGCCGCTCGCCATTTGTCTAGACGTCTGCACGCGGGGCCACGTGATAGGTAGAGCCAATGAGCGAAGGGTTAGGGAAGAGGGGCGGGGGGGGTGCTCCTATCCGTGCTGGGTAATATAAAGCGGTGGTGAGGTCACGTGACGATGCTCGCGTGCTTCCCACGTGTGCGGGGCGAGCCGGCCCCCTGGGACTCGATGCTGGCAGTTCAGCATTGGTTCACTCAAGCCCGACACTGCTGATGAGACACTGAAAGTCGAACCCAGCCCTCGCCTATCACAATTGGCAGTTCAGCATTGGTTCAATGACGCCCGACACTGTTGATGAGACACTGAAAGTCGAACCCAGTCCTCGCCTATCACAACTGGCAGTTCAGCATTGGTTCAATGAAGCCCGACACTGCTGATGAGACACTGAAAGTTGAACCCAGCCCTCGCCTATCACAACTGGCAGTTCAGTATTGGTTCAATGAAGCCCGGCACTGCTGATGAGACGCTGAAAATCGAACCCAGCCCTCGCCTATCACAACTGGCAGTTCAGCATTGGTTCAATGAAGCCCGACACTGCTGATGAGACACTGAAAGTCGAACCCAGCCCTCGCCTATCACAACTGGCAGTTCAGCATTGGTTCAATCAAGCCTGAAACTGCTGATGAGACACTGAACGTCAAAGCCAGTCCTCGCCTATTATATTTGGAAATTCACCGACATTGGTCCAATTAAGTCTGACACTGCTGATGAGACGTTGAATGTCAAACCCAGTCCTCGCCTATAACATCTGGCAGTTCACCAGTATCGGTTCAATCAAGCTTGACACTGCGGATGTCAAATGCTGCTGAAACAATGCACTCCAGAGATGGCCGTGTGGCTGATGGGATGGTGTCAAAAAATACTATCCGCAATTGTCTGTCATGGGAGGTTTCCCTCGCTCCTCAGCTGCTCGCAATATCTGGGAAATCCACCTCCCTCCAACTCGGCCAATCCTACGCACCACCTGGGCTCCATCAACTCTCCAGGATGCGCCCTCGGCAGAGGTTCGCGTTGATTGCGTGCAACCGGGTTGAGTACTCGTGATGTCAGGGAGAGAGAGAGAGAGTCTCGTTTGTCAAGAGTGGCTGACCCCGGGGTCACCAAAATGACGACAGCAAAGACAAACAGAGCAGAAGCACCGCGAGCGATCCTCACAGTAAGAGTGTGCCTACGCAGATTTCAATCTCCTCGCTCGCGTGGCTCTCCGGCTGCTACGCAACTGCGCACACGGCAGAGTGCCGGATTCTCCTAGTCACACAAATAGCTACCCATGTGTAACGGTGTTATTGGGCGAATGTCCACCGTCTCTGGTGGATAGCTACTACTTGCCGATAGCGGGCAGTCGACGGGGCGAGCCAGTACCAGGGGAGTATGACCCAAGGGGTAAACAGCCAGCCGGGAAAACGGATCCTGGAACGAGTGGGCACAGCCCCCACGTAGGGAGGGGGCTGTGGGGGACTGATGTCACCCTTCCAGAACCTGGTGGAAGGTTCGGGAAGGGGGGGGGGCGTGGCTAGGGCGGAGCAAGCCACGGAGCAGGATAAAATCCGGACCCGGGAGGGTTCGGGCAGTTGTGCCAGCTGAAGACAGAAGAGCCAGCGAAGACTGAAGACCGGCGAGCTAGGACCCTGAGACTCACCTGACCCGACGTCCTTCTCAGGGCCGGGCAGAGTGAGCCAGTGGTGCGACCCGGAAAGCCTCGGAGCCCGACGTCCTTCTCAGGGCCGGGTCCGTGTGGCTGGCGGTCGAGACCTGTACCGTGACCAGGGTCAGGTCAGCTAGCCTCCCTTAGGACCCTCTTAGCCGGAGGACCCGGGACCATAGCTAGAAGCTAGGGGAGTTCGCCAAGGGAATATCTCCCCAGCTAGCAGCGGGTGAAGGGGCCGCTACCCCATCAAGTGTAAAGACTGCATTGTGTTAAGCTACGTCTTGTAATAAATAAGCATTGGCTCTACCAAGTGCCTACGCCGTCTTAAGAACCCACTACACAAGTAGCTACTACACTTTCAAGGGCCCCGCGCTAAATGCTTTCAAGCTATGTGTTCAGTGATTCTGCACTTGCTCTGTTACTATAGTACTATACCGCCTTCAACTTTTATGAACGACTGGGTGTTTAAGGTTAGTGATTTGTCGTATTATCCGGCTGCATAGCAAATGAAAAAATACAATTGCTTTACTATGCAAGTAAAAAAAATGCGTGTTCTTTTTCATTTAGGGCCCCTTTAAAGCATGCTGCAGATCCTACACTAGTTTAATCGGGCATTGACACGGTGGTCCACGCGTGTTCCCAGCGCGTCGCGTGTACACGCCTGGATGTGGTGTGTGCTACTACTACACGTGCGTGCGCGTCAGCGATGTGCACGTGTTGTGTGGAGTACGCACGCGCACGCGTGTTATATCCAGACAGCAGAGTGGTTCTCAAAGTGTGGTCCCAGCACCACTGGCGGGGTTCGCGACGGTCCTCAAAGTGGTCCGCGGGATCTGTGATGCGAATGCAGCTTGACCCGGACAGTGATTGCCTGGAGGCCCTTTGCTTGGTTCAGACCCACCGCCGATGTCGTTGTTGGCATCAGCTGCCCCGCCAATGCTGCTGGTGCTGCTGAGACACTTGGGCTACGACCATCTCCAAACTTTGATAAACAGTTTGCCTTTTAGAGGCTAACCCACCTTTTCCTGATGTCGACCGCTTGTGTTGCGATCGAAATGTCGTGGTTTTTGTTTTATCTAAAATTTTCTTATTTTAACATTTTTTCAGGCTACTACAGTCTACATTATAGACTGCCAGTACACTCATTCCGATTAAGAACCAGGCTCCAGTATTATTTTTATTATTTTTGTTCACTTTATTTTTAATTATTTTTCTATCTACTTGACTTTAGCGAAAAAAAACAAAGAATATGATAACAAACTAAACACAAATGAAGTTAGGTAAACTACCTTGATTAATCGACCCTAAGGGGGCGTCCATAAATGACGTCACGCAATTTTGGACGATTTTTGACCCCCCCCTCGTCACACGGCGTCACAAAACGTCAGACCCCCCTCAAATATGACGTCACAACGCTCTGCCCCCCCCTCTAAAAAAATCTAAAACATGCTTCAAATCGCTTTAAACTATTGTCATTGTAGTGCGTATTTAATGTGGCGCTGCACTCTGATGTTGTAGGAGAAAACATTTATTTAAAAGTATATTTAAGTAGAACGTGTTGCCTATATTTATTTAAAGATGCGCATTTTGATGTGACGTCACATTTCTCACCCTCCCCCCCCTCGTCACACATCGTCACAAATGTCTGACCCCCCCCCCCCCAGGTGCTTGACGTCATTTATGGACGACCACTAAGATCTAAAATGCCACCCCTAAAAAAACGTGTACCTACGTTAACATTGTTTTGTTATTGTTCCGTCAATGAGTCATTGTGTATGAAGTAACGTTTGGAGAGATCAGTGAACGCGTCCGGCCACCAGGGGGTGCTGCGTAGTCCGCAGAAATGTTTGCATCAGCTGAGTGATCCGCGGACTCGAGAAGTTTGAGAAACACCGATGTTGCTCACCTCCATGTGTGTGTTGTGGTGGTGGCCTTCATAGGTGCTACTCGCTAACGGCACTTGCCCCCACAGTCTGTTACAGGCTACACGGGGGGGGGGGGGGTTTGGATCTTTGTCTTTGTGGGGCGTTGTGTGAACCTCACCGCCGTCTTGTACACTGTTGCCTTCCCAGTTTGGTTGATGGGAGAAGTGTAGAATACGGTGGTGAGGCCCATTGCTGTTGTATGGTGCCGAGTGCTGTTGGGGCACAATGAAGAGAGCGGACCAAGCGATGTCAGTCACAGAGATGAGGATATGAGATGAGGATGTTGCGGTGGGTGGGGTGGGGGTGAACAAGGAAGGACAGGGTGAGAAATGAAGAAGTGAGAAATGAAGACTCAAGGTGGTAGAAATCACAGATTCCTTTGTCAAGGGGTGCCTCTGCGCATGTGTATGCTTTAACTTAGCTATTTCAATGCTAAATTCTATGCTAATTCCTTTATCAAGGGGTGCCTCTGCGGATGTGTATGCTTTAACGTTTAACATAGCTATTTCTGTGACCAGTCACAAGCTAATCACTCAGCCATTTCAATGCTAAATTATATGCTAATTCCTTTGTCAAGGCGCTTTGTTTCCTCTCACACGGCTTAAAGGTCGTGATCTGAACGTGGCTCTTTCACTCCAGCGCTGTCCTACCAGACAGTCTCGTGCCTTCACCTGATGAAGGCCGCTTGTGTTGTGGCCGAAACGTCGTGAGAATATTATTGTGTTATTTTATTTTATCAATTTATTATTTTATTCTCATTCTACGTGACTTTACCGAAAGAACCAAAGAAGATGAATCATTGCAGTCACGAAAGCTTGAAATCGAAAGTTGAGAGAGAATTGGCTCTGGTGTGGTTTGGTCATTTGGAGAGGCAGCTGGGAAAGTGTGTGTGGGTCAGAAGGTGCAAGTGACGCTTGTGGAAGGAAAGAGATCGAGAGGAAGGCAGACAAAGAGGTGGGTCTTGATTCGAAGCTTTCGTGACTGCAGGAATTACTCTTTGTTTTTTTCGGTAAAGTCACGTATAAATAAGAAATAATAAAATAACATAATAGCGTACGACGTTTCGGTTGCAACACAAGCAGCCATCATCAGCTTGTGTTGCAACCGAAACGTCGTACGCTATTATGTTATTTTATTATTTCTTATTTATACGTGACTTTACCGAAAAAAACAAAGAGTAATTCCTGCAGTCACGAAAGCTTCGAATCAAGTCTGAACCACTTCTACGGGGAGGTAAGAGGTCTGTGTCTTTGTGTTGTCTCTGCTTGTGTATCTGCCTTTGTGTCTTGGCTTGGATTTGTGTCTCTGTGCTGTCTCTGCCTGTGTGTGGGCCTTGTTGCTTCCGAGTGTGTGCTGCTGCGCCCCACTTTGCTCCATGCATACCTCATGCTAATTGTCCCATTGTCTCTCAGCCTTACCTTCTCTACCTATTTAAGGCGACTTCACTGTGTGCGTGTCTGTGCTGGTTCGCTCTGCTTGGATGTCAATGTGTGTGTGTGTGCGCGGTCTGTATTTTAAATGTCATACTTAACTTGCAATTTAGCAATCTTTGTAATAGCGTAATCAACCAGACTATGCGTTAATTGTGTTTTGACCGACCGTCTGTGTTGCTTTATATGGTTTCCAAATTTTGCTAAATACTGTTTGTTTGGTATGCTTCTCTCTCTGTGTCCCCTGTTGTATCTGTGTTAGTTCCCCCCTACTTGGGTGTCTGTATATACATCTGGGGTTATGTGTTTCTCTCGTAAATTTAGCTCTTCTGTACCTGATGATGGCTGCTTGTGTGGCAACCGAAACGTCGTACACTATTATGTTATTTCATTATTTCTTATTTATACGTGACTTTACCGAAAAAAATAAAGAGTAAAGAGGTGGGTGTTGTGTGAACCTAGCCTGGCACAAGCGCCGTGGTGACGGCACTGCCACTTAGTGGTGAAGGGCGGTTGTTGTTGTTGTGCGTGTTGTGGACCAACATCGGTGACGAATATCTGAACCGGTACTGGGGCCTCCCTAAGGTCGACTCGGCCTTAAACGAGTACTGTACTGTGTACCTGCTTCGGTGTGTAAAGATCAACACTGGGGAGACAAAGGCGGCCGGCCGTGGGCTGGCCACCCACCACCCACGTGTTGATCTTCGTAGGTGCTCGCTCACAGCACTTTGACTCTGTAGTCGTGTCCCCTTCGGGACACTGTCGTGTGCAATGCTGCTGTGGATATCCGATGACGGTGAGATCGCGAAAGCGGGCAAATATTGACGTCCTCACTTTACGACAGCGACAGCTCACGAGCCATCACCGTCTCTGATCTAATCGACAGCTCATGAGTCATCATCGTCTCTGATCTAATCGATGACAGCTCACGAGTCATCATCGTCTCTGATCTAGTCGACAGCTCACGAGCCATCACCGTCTCTGATCTAGTCGACAGCTCACGAGCCATCACCATCTCTGCTCTCATCGATGACAGCTCACGAGTCATCATCGTCTCTGATCTAATGGACGACAGCTCACGAGTCATCACCGTCTCTGATCTAGTCGACAGCTCACGAGCCATCATCGTCTCTGATCTAGTCGACAGCTCACGAGTCATCATCGTCTCTGATCTAGTCGACAGCTCACGAGCCATCATCGTCTCTGATCTAATGGACGACAGCTCACGAGCCATCATCGTCTCTGATCTAATGGACGACAGCGCACGAGTCATCATCGTCTCTGATCTAATCGATGACAGCTCACGAGTCATCACCGTCTCTGCTCTAATCGATGCCAGCTCACAAGTCATCACCGTCTCTGCTCTAATCGATGCCAGCTCACGAGTCATCACCGTCTCTGCTCTAATCGATGACAGCTCACGAGTCATCACCGTCTCTGCTCTAATCGATGACAGCTCACGAGTCATCACCGTCTCTGCTCTAATCGATGACAGCTCACGAGTCATCATCGCCTCTGATCTAATCGATGACAGCTCACGAGTCATCACCGTCTCTGCTCTAATGGACGACAGTGCACGAGTCATCATCGCCTCTGATCTAATGGACGACAGTGCACGAGTCATCATCGCCTCTGCTTTAATCGACGACAGCGGCCAAACAAGCGGAGTAACAACATCATCGACAGCGATAAGCGAACGAACGGGCGCGCCCGCGAGCAGCGGCCACACCTTGGCAGGCGCGCGTCAGCTCTTGAGAAGCAGGGACCAGGGCTCGAACGCGGTCCATGGAACCCCCCGGGGGCGGGGGTGGGGGGTGATCACATCCGAGAGGCCGAAATTGAAGGCGTTGGCACCCGGGTTTTGGGGTGGACGCGTGGGACATGAGGATTTGGGGAATGCGCGAGTCGCTTATGTCCGGGGTGAGATCTTTTCGCGATGGGGGGGGGGGGATAACGATGCAATTGACCGGGGCTCAAAACCCAAACCTATCAACCCCTTATCAGTGTTTAGCTCATTACAGACCAATTCAGACCTTATTGGTCACCCCGTGCCCTTATAAATCTCAACGTGCATCCTAAAAAGCCCCATCACAAGGGAGAAACACAAACAAATAGACAACACATTTTTTTGCCCGCATTGAAACGGCTGTACGCCGCATAGACCTAAAAACTCAATTTCCCTGTACATGAATACGGGTAAACCGTATGGGTTGACAGCTATGGAAAAACTCCCGGTGCGGTGTGTAAACATCGCCACTGGAGAAACAAAGGCGGCGGCAGGGCATGGCGCTGGCCAACCCAAATCCTCGTGCGCCGTGCCGTGCCGGTCTTCATCGGTGCTACTCGCTAACAGCGCTTTCCCCCCAACAGCCTATTAATGCCATACGGGAGATCTTTGTATGTATGGGTAAGGGGAGAAGGAAGGCGTGTGGGTGCATGCGGGGGGGGGGGGGGGGGGTAAAGACACCTGAACCCGGCCCTGCTCGTGGTTTTGCCCCCCCCACCCAGTTTAATAGTTGGGGAACAGCTGCAGCCCCCCCCCCATCACTTCCCCGAGTGAGTGAACGACTGGAGCTCGACTCTATATGTAATCATCACCGCTACGAGGTCAAACTAGGGCTTAATATTCGCCGGAACTCTCCTTGGCTGAGCTCCATAACGCGTATATATATAGTTTCCCTGCCCCCATGGTGTTGGGGGCTTTGAAGCCGCGGAAAATATTTCATGAAACAATGTAATCCCTGCGCCAGAGACCGGACGGGATCTGAAACCTCAAGTCCCCGACACGCGGGGCCCGCTAGGTCCCGAGAGCAGTACACGCGTGCGAACTGCACCCCCCTCCATCGGGGGGGGGGGAGGTGGGGGTGGTCCACCCCATCACGGCGGAGATGACCCCGCATTAGTGAAGGACCCCGGTGGCCCGCGCGAGGCTCCTGTCTTCTCTAGCAGAGCTTGGTGGACGCGATGCTGTCGAGGCGGGTCCCGTTGAGCGCCGCGGGGCTGGAGCAGGAGCCCGAGTCCTCGGGGAAGAGCTCCACCTTGGCCCGGCTGAGCCACTTGACCAGGGGCGCCAGCTTGCAGTCGCACGCCCACGGGTTGCCGTGCAGGTAGAGCATGCTGAGGTCTGCGCCGTGTCACACGTGTGTCGGGGGCAGGCAAGACAACTCAGCAACGCGGCAACCCATGCGCTACACTGCCCGATCAGGTAACTCAACAACCAGGCAACTCAGCAGCCGACGTTTACACAGCCAAACCAGGCAACTCAGCATCCACGCAACTCAGCAACCAGGCAACTCAGCAGCCGATGTCAATACAGCCAAACCAGGCAACATAGCATCCCGGCAACTCGGCAACCAGGCAACTCAGCAGCCGACATCTACACAACCAAACCAGGCAACTTAGCATCCAGACAACTCGGCAAACAGGCAACTCAGTAACCAGGCAACTCAGCAGCCGATGTCTACACAGCCAAATCAGGAAACTTAGCATCCAGGCAACTCGGCAACCAGGCAACTCAGCAACCGACGTCTACACAGCCAAACCAGGCAACTTAGCATCCACGCAACTCAGCAACCAGGCAACTCAGCAGCCGATGTCTACACAGCCAAACCAGGCAAATTAGCATCCAAGCAACTCGGCAACCAGGCAACCGACGTATACATAGCACAACCAGGCAACCATACAACCAAGCAACCAACATCTACACAGCACAGTAACCAGGCAACTGGCATCTGCGCAGCCACACCATGCAACTATGCAGGCGACATCGCTACAGCTAGCCAAGCAACTCGGAAACCACCAGGCAAGCGACATCTGCACAGCTCACCAGGCAACTTGGAAACCATTTTGTCAGCCAAGCAGATAATCAGGCAACCAAGCAATTGGGCAACAATCTGGACAGTCCAATCGCGTAACAGTAATGTAGCCGTGACCTTGTATGAAGTTGGTGGGTGGGGTTGGGGTGGGGTAGGGTGAGAGGGGCACGACACTCAACGACACGGTCAAAATGTTGCACCGAGCATCAGGAGCACGGAGTAGGGCGAGGTGGAGGATGTGGCTGGTGCCGGAATCACCCCCGGCGCCGCGTGTCCCGGACTCCTCCGGCTGCACCCGACCCTGGCGTTGTAGCTGCTACCGCAGCGGCGCGGCTGTTGAGTGCGCAGGCGGTGCAACTGCACCGTGCATTGGGCATGGGGTCCCTTTTCATCCCTTCACCCGCGGCACTGACCCATGAACCCTGAACCTTTGAAAAACACCAGCCACGCCCCTGACCCTGACCTAGAACCATCCCAAGCGCTACCTCTGCCCCTGCGCTTGATCCATCGCACGCACTAGGCATACTCCTGACCCTCACCCACCCCAGACACGAGCTCTATACCCTTTGACCTTGACCCATCCCAAGCACTAGCTCTACCCTGTGACCTTGACCCTGACCCATCCCAAGCACTCACCCTATCCCGAACGCTCACCTATCCCACCTTAAATTAAGCACTGCGAATCACAGACCACGTGCCATTCTGATTGTCTGTGGACATCTCTTTCACACCCCCCCCCCCCCCCGGGTGGTGGCGGTGGCAGTGATGATGATTGATGATGGGCGCTGTGCGATTCAAGCGGCGGACCTCTGAGACGCGAGATGGCTCCACCGTCGAGCGAGTGCAGATGGTTGTTGTTGTCGAGCGTGAGATGCGTGAGCTTGGGGATGTGCTTGAAGGCGTCGCGCGGGACGGAGGCCAGGCGGTTCCCGCTCAGGTAGAGCTGCCTCAGACCCTGCAGGCCCACGAAGGTAGCGGCCGCCACGCTCGCGATATCGTTGTTGCTCAGCACCAGCATCTCCAGCTGCTGCAGGGGCTGGAAGAGGCCGTCGGGCACCTCCTTGAGGCGGTTCCCGTCCAGATTGAGGAAGTCCAAGGTGTGAAGGCCCACGAACGCTTGCGGCGAGATTGTGTGGATCTTGTTGAAGCCCAGGTCGAGAATCTTGAGGGAGGGCACGTGCTTGAAAAGGAAGCCCTGTAGCTCGGCGAGGTTGTTGAGAGGCATGTCCAGGTCGGACAGATCCTTCAGGCCGTGGAAGGTGTCCGAAGAGAGGGAGGTGATCTGGTTCTTGCCCAGCAGCAGGAATTTGAGACGGTAGAGGTTCTGGAAGGCCTTGGGTGGGATCTGGCTCAGGCTGTTACCGTAGAGGTTGAGCATCTGCAGCTTCTTGGTGCCGGAGAAGGTCTTGAGGTGGAAGCTGGAGATGCCATTGTTCTCCAGGTTGATGCTCTCCACCCCAGGGATCTTCTCGAACATCTCGGCGCTCAGCTTCTGCACCTTGTTGTAACCTTGAGGTGGGGAAATGGGGGACACGGTGCAGATCAATACAGCTCCCACCCCACTCCCCTCCAACAAGTGCTCCCACCCACCACACGGTGACATCACGCACGCATCCTCATCTGTTGTCCCAAAGGCTGAAGTCCCCTCATTCATATTCGTGGGTCTTTCGGTAAAGTCACGTAGATAGGTTCAAAGAAAATAACTTTTTTATTATTAAATATTTTCTTTGAATTTATATACGTGACTTTACCGAAAGACCCAAGAATATGAATTTCTGCAGTCACGAAAGCATTAAGTCAAGATTCCCCTCATTCAACCATGAGTCTCATCTCACTCTACTCCCCTCCATGCACTCTCCTGCCTCTCCCCTCTCATCTCACTCTACTCCCCTCCACGCACTCTCCCACCTCTCCTCTCTCATCTCACTCCACTCCCCTCCATACACTCTCCTACCTCTCCCCTCTCATCTCACTCTACTCCCCTCCACGCAATATCCTACCTCTCCCCTCTCATCTCACTCTACTCCCCACCACGCACTCTCCTGCCTCTCCCCTCTCATCTCACTCCCCTCCACACACTCTCCTACCTCTCCCCTCTCATCTCACTCTACTCCCCTCCACGCACTCTCCGCCCCAGCAACCAAGGCTTTCTGCTGAAGCCCCCCCAGACAATCTTCGTTTTGTCGGAGGTCGCTCATTCTCCTGTGCTGCCGCCACAGTCTGGGGATCCCTTCTCACAGCCATCCGTGCTGTCGACTCCCTCCCCCTGTTCACGTCCAGGCTCAAGGCCCCTTTTCCCCACCTCCGCCTATGACTGACTGCCTCTCTCTCTCTCTTACAGGAAACACGTCCGCCGTTTGTGGTCAGCCTTGCTTAAGATGCAGTGACAATTGAGTCGCTCGAGATAAGCCACGCACTTGTCTAGCGCGGCCATCAATTCACGCACCACACCCGAGACACCGCGCCCCGCTTAGAGGCAGCGCGATATTCCAGTGGCCTGTCTGGATATGAAACCGGGGCTGCCTGGAAACTCAACACGTTCGCCATTTTCGAGTCGCCCACTAATTCGTCTGAAGTTTGTAGAATCAGCGGAACCTTGGCCGGAACGATGGCGCAGCGGTTTAGCGCACACGCAATGGAACCCATTCAGCAGGGAGTTCAATTCCCCAACCACGGATAATAATATCAGTGGCGAGTGATATCTGGACCGGTCCTGGGGGGATGGGGGTCAGCCCACCTTTCACCAAAACGCATTGACAAGCGTGGTGAAGTATGGTTATCTGATTGGCGACCAGCCGGTGACGGTGACGGTGAGACCCGACCGAACTCGCTCGCGTGCGATGCAAACGAGGCCACCACGGGACCACCACGAGGCCACCATGGAACCACCACAAGACCACCACGAGACCACCACAAGACCACCACGGGGCCATCACGAGACCACCACAAGACCACCACGAGGCCACCATGGAACCACCATGAAACCACCACAAGACCACCGCGAGGCCACCATGGAACCACCACAAGACCACCACAAGACCACCGCGAGACCACCACAAGACCACCGCGAGGCCACCACAAGACCACCACGGGGCCATAACGGGGCACGAGGTCGGCGCAACGACGCAAACGGACCCATCTTGAGGAGCCAGGCATCGGGAGGGAGGTCCCCGGGCACCGTGGCGAGGTCCCGGGCACGGCAATCCACGTCCGAGCCTGCGTGGAACGTGGACATCGTGCAGTTGCAGGCGGCCGGGCAGCTCAGCGGGCCTTGCTGCTGCTGCTGCACCGCTGCCCCGCACGCCAGGGCAGCCAGGGCAGCCCACACGGGAAGCAGCAACATCAACATCGCCATGGTGCGTGCGGCACGAGCAGCGGAACTCTCCCCGGTCACTGCGAGCGCCGTGAAGTTGGGTGGTGACCACGAGAGGAGATACAACCTGGAGATGCTGGCTCTTCTCAAGGTGGCGGTGGTCCTTCAATGGAGGTCCCTCAAAACGGGGTCCCTTAGGCGAGCTCAGGTCTCTCGGCACCGCTCGTTAGCCGGACAGCGCGGAGGCCGAATGGACGGGATCCTGGTGCCCCAGCGCCGCTGGGTTCGGGGCACGGTGCAAAGGAATACAAAATGTATATATATGAAAAAAAAGAGTTGAATCACGGAGGGCCCTGCGCAGAGGGAGACTCCGGGAGGAGAGAGTGGACGAGTGAGACGAGAGGCGTCAGGAGAAGGGAGAGTTCGACAGGGAGCGGAGAGATTGAGGGAGGAGAGAGTGAGGGTCGCGGCGCGGTGCGTGCCCAGTTTGGACTCGCGAGCAGATGTCACATCGCAGCTCGTCACGCCGAGCCGTGGGTCGCTCGTCTCTGGGCTCCAGTGTTCATTCTCCCGGCCGTGTTTGTCTCACCCCCGCGAGCCGGCACGCAGTCACGCGGGAGCCCTCAATACCCCCTTGATAGACTCCGCGCTGCGCGGGCCGCGTGCCAGCTCCCCCCTTACCTAACACCCCCCCCACGCCTCACCCTACAGGACCCCCCCCCCTTACCTAACACCCCCCCCCGCCACGCCTCACCCTACAGGACCCCCCCCCCCCTTACCTAACACCCCCCCCCCGCCACGCCTCACCCTACAGGACCCCGCTCCCCCTCCCCCGTGTTTGTGTTGGGGGGCCATGAAAGCGCTCTCAGTGCCACCTTGTGGCACGGAGTCTCCACATCCCCCACCCCCCCACAAGGCGTGTGCTGTCCTCGCCTCCTCGTCTCGTCACCACCTGGCAACGACTCTCACATCACCCACACACACTCTCTCACTCTCACACTCTCTCACTCTCTCTCTCTCACACTCTCTCTCTCTCACACTCTCACATCACCCACACACACTCTCTCTCTCTCACTCTCTCTCACACTCTCTCTCACTCTCACATCACCCACACACACTCGCTCTCACTCTCTCTCACACTCTCACATCACCCACACACACTCTCTCTCTCACACTCTCTCTCACTCTCACATCACCCACACACACTCTCTCTCACACTCTCTCACTCTCACATCACCCACACACACTCTCTCACTCTCACTCACACTCTCACATCACCCACACACACTCTCTCTCTCACTCTCTCTCACACTCTCACATCACCCACACACACTCTCTCTCACACTCTCTCTCTCACTCTCACATCACCCACACACACTCTCTCTCTCACACTCTCTCTCTCTCACACTCTCTCACTCTCTCTCTCTCACACTCGCTGTCTCACACTCTCACATCACCCACACACACTCTCACTCTCTCTCACACTCTCACATCACCCACACACACTCTCTCTCACTCTCTCTCACACTCTCACATCACCCACACACACTCTCTCTCTCACACTCTCTCTCACTCTCTCACTCTCACACTCTCTCACTCTCACACTCTCTCTCTCTCACACTCTCTCTCTCTCACACTCTCTCTCACACTTTCTCTCTCACACTCTCTCTCATACTCTCTCTCATACTCTCACACTCTCTCTCACACTCTCTCTCACTCTCACATCACCCGCACACTCTCTCACACTCTCAAACTCTCTCTCGCTTCCACACAATCACGGGCTCACACTCTCCCACACACTCTCCCACACATTCTCACTCGCTCACGCTCTCACACTGTGTACCATGCTCCAACCTCTATGCTCCCCCTGCGTTCAGGTGACCCGCACAGACCAGCGTGGTGAATACCAGCACGGTATAGTCAAAAACAACCCGCAGGGCGTGCGGTGGGGGGAGGCCCTCATCCAGCAGTGGACTGACAGAGTAGGCATGTATGGGGAGCGGTGGTGCAGTGGTTAGCACACTGCGGTACGAACCCGGCGACCCGAGGTCAATTCCCGCTCACGGCCAACATCAGTGACCATTATCTGAACCAGTTCTGGGTCTCCCCTTGGTGGACTCAGCCTCAAATGAGCAGCTGGTGCGATGTGTAAATATCGCCGGGCGTGGTGCTGGCGACCCACCCCCTCCTGTGCAGTGCCGGCCTTCATAGGTGCTCGCTAACAGCACTTGCTTCAACGGCCTGTAAAGGCAATGCTGGGAACATTTGTAAGTGTGAGTAAATCTGCACCCGTGTGTTGCGCGCGTCTCTCATTTATTTTGCCACGAAATGGCCACGTGTTCTCTCGCTCCACGACCTCCGTGAATGTTGGTGAAATAAAGCAAATCCCGCTCACGGCTAACATCAGTAGCGAGCGAAATCTCAACCGGTCCGCAGTCCCTCTCCTCACCCACCCCACCCTCTTCGGTAACTGTCCAACGTGGTGAAGTATGGTCGAAGGCATCCCCATGACCGACAAAGCAAACCTGACGATCTCGCACCATTGGCTACGTCGTCATTACTGTCACGGCGCTCGACCGGTGTCACCGCAGTCTTATTTTTTTTTATTTGCGAAGCTTCAAACCTCCCGCGCTCGCCAGTGTAGAACGGACGTCCGAGGCAGGGGGCGCGTGGCGTTCAATTGACATTCGCCCCAATTAACCCTCAGAGACCGCCCCTCTACCGATTTGGGGGGGGGAGTTCCTCCTTCACGGGGGGCTGGTGTCCAGCTCCCTGGGGCGACTGCCACCTCCAGATGAACCCACGCGTGAGGAGGCACGGTGTGGAGTCTCGAGTCACGGATGAGGATCGACGTCCACTCCGTGAGCTCCTGACGCCGCGTGCCTCTTGACGAGATCCCTCGTTGATGGAGTCCCCTTCATAGGGTCCACCACGGACGATAGTAGAGGAGGGTCCTCACCCCCACCCTCCCCCCTCTCCCCGTCCCCCGCAGCTCAGCTGACTGGCGGGGTCCGCGTCTCCCTCCCGCGGGGTCTCTGTGGGTGGCAAGGGGACGCGAGGTCGTTAGTGAACCGCCCCCCCCCCCCCCCACCTTGCCCGTCTCGGAGTCCCTCGACCAGGACTGGGGCCTCATGGGCGTGCGTGGGATCACGTGGGGGCCTCCCCGTTTGGTGGACTAGTGGGTGACTGACGGAGCTACAGTGGGCGACTCAGACATTCACACGAGACCCGTCGCATGCGACTTGTAGAGACACAGGCCAAGAGGTCATGTCCACGTGTTCCATCCCGATGACACCGGACTGAACTCCTTTCCAACTCCAAAGGGAGGTTTATTTTTCAATTGCCCACCACAGATAGACCCTCATCAACTCCTGGACCTGAATGCACAACACCTGTGCCATATTGACCCGCAAAGCCTGAACAGAGACTTTTTAACATCTGGGCATACAGATGAAGATTTTCATGCTTGGGGTGCTTGCTTTAATGCCTCATCATCTCGAAGCACCTGACCCTACATTTCGTCTCAAACATTCCATTGAAGGCTCTCCTAAATCTGGCGAAATGTTGGGATTGTGGTCTAGGGTATGGAGACCAAACGGATTGATTTATTTGAATTTATTTTCTCTATGTCATTATAATTTTCTTGTTCTGTGCATTTTTTAATCGTTATTTATGTATTCATATTTTTAGTTTTAGATTTGCTAAGGAGTGGAGTTTCGTTTTTGTACCATTTGTGTAAGGGACTAGCTAATTGATGTGCAGCGTTGTGGGATGCAATTGCATGAATGGCACTCTATAAAATGAAATTATTACTATTATTGCCCTGCAGCAGCTAAGTCCAGGGGACCCCGGTGGGCAGCAGTCCCTATGCGTCACGAGGTGTTACGCAGCACCATCTCGCAACTGGATTCAGCCGCACGACCCCGGACAGCACAGGGGGCCCCCAGAAGCAGCTGGACGCCCGAGGCCACAGAACACGGCGTGGGGCTGCCTGTGGTAGCCACGCTGCACGTGGCTGCCTGTGACCCAGCATTGTGGGAGGCAGCAGTGCAGGTTGGTGGATTACCGCGTGCAGATTTTGTAAAACTCCCTTCCCGTAGGTGGGTGTGGAGAAGGTGCCATACCCTTACCCGCCAGGAGAAGGCAGTACAGCAAGTGGACTAGTTGCAATCTGTTTCCATCTGTACGGGGAAAGAGTGTTGCCCCCTTACGCAAGGTGTGGGTTTTCTCCGGGTGCTCCGGTTTCCTCTGATGTGAATAATAAACACGACTCATTATTAATTTGCTAAATTTAAAACCCATTGCTGGACCCTCCTGAAAAAGATGATAACGCCTCAGCGTGGCTCTCCTGGATAAATAAGTAAATTATTAACAACAAAACCCTGGCCCATTGCAGAGCACTGGTCATCCGAGCAACGCCCGGGGCGCATTTCCCCTTTTGGCCGCACGTGAGGGGCTTCCCGGGCCTCTTGCCTTGAGCGTGAGGCCCTGACTCATGGAGAAGCTGTAGGTGCAGGGCACGTGGCTGTTCCGTCGGGCCGAGCGCGAGGCCCTGGGCAGGTGGAACTCGGTGGGCGGCGTCGCGGCATCCCGGAACATCGCCAGCCTCTGCCTGAGCACCGTCTGCAACCGTGGCTCTGCGGGGCGGGCAGGCGGCGGGGGGAGGGGGGCGGCACAGGTAGCGGTGGTGAAGGAGATGGAGCGCGGTGTGGGTTGCGTCGGGGCCTGCGGTTGCTCCGCGGTGAAGACTGGAGGCCGCGGCTTCCAAGTGACAGCTGGCAGTCGCTTCATCGAGCGGAATCAAGTATCGCGCGACGCAGCGTGCCGCATCGCGCGGGCAGGAAACGACGAATTGTGCAGGTTACACGGCACGTGATATACAGACGACGTTTCGTCGAGCGTGATGGACCGAACAAAAAACTGAATAAAACGAAATGGCACAAACGAGAGACAAGGTATGCACTGTTGGCACCTCCGATTAGCGCGGTTGGCTATGTACCATGCGAAAGAAGCCCCAGGCCTCATGACAGTGGAGGAAATCCAGGTTTCCTCATTCTCCAATCTTCAATCGCCGGGGAGTGCGACGAGCGACCACTTCGGCCATGCACCGCCCTTTCACCACCCCCCTCCCCAGCCCTGCCCCTTTGACGACCCACAATACTCCGGTTTTCCACTCCACATTTAGAAACATGCGTTTAGAGTATTTGGCTGCTGTACATTTCCGCGTGATAAGCCACTTCGTTGAGCTATCGTTTGTGGCCAGGTCGCTTCTGACAAAAGAGCTGCATAGCTCAGTGGGCATTGCCTGGTAAAATATATATTTTTTAGTTTAGTTTAGGTCATGCGCAATTGGCTGGCGGTCGCCGTGCAGCACGCCCATTGGCTCTCGATGGACCTGGAGCGACAAGCGGGGGGCGGGGGGGGGTAACGACGAGCGGGCGACGCACCAGGCAGGCCGCTGGCGCTGTGCGGGATGCGGCCCTCGCGGGCAAACCCCGCCCAGAAGGGCAGGAGCTCGTGGAAGACTGCATTCTGGGCCTCGTCGAACACGCGCGGGGCCAGCTGCTCGGGCCGGGCCAGGCACGCCTGGGCAGCCACCCTCACGGCCTCCGCCTGCTCCGGAGAGATGTCCACCTGGGAGCACACGCCAGGGTTAGGGGTCGAGTTGCCGGACGAGCGACGGGACGCCACCGTGTTGGGGCCTCCACTCCTCGTCTACTCACAGGTCAGTAAAACGGATAACAGGTAGAGGCGCAGCCTCGCAATTTCTCGTTCGCATCACTGCCGGCAGAAGACCCCCCACTAGAGGGCCAGCAGAGTCCTGACATGGCTCGGAAGGCAGGGAGTGCAGCAATTTAAGAGGATCTCGCCCATCCTGATGTCAGCATTTCATCGATCCCCAGGTGCGACTCGGAGCATCAGGTGTCAGTGCAGCAGCTCAAACCCATGCAGACAACTCATCAACACCTCGTCCCTCGTGGACACGCTCCAGAGGCCTCTTCCCTGCCTCATCTGCGCTACCTACCCACCTCTGTGCACCATCAACATGACACCACACAGTCTGGAGCTTTCTGGCTCTGCGAAATCGCCCAGACTGGCTCACGGGGTTGTGGGATCACCCAAGGATGGGAAATCTTGAGTGGCCCTCACGACTTCCTGATCCTCCTGCTTCTCCCACCCCCCGATCCCCAATGCCCCCCCCACCTGAAGCGTGGGCTCGAGACGAGATTTGATGAAGCAGTCGAGGATGATGCGAATCTTCTTGCGCAGAAGGACGTGGTCGGGGTCGGCATGGTGTGCGTTCTTGAACTTCTGCACCTCGAGGTAGAAGAGGAGATCTCGTTCGGCGCGGGGCCGCCCGGCCTCGGCACCAAGCTCTTGCAGGCGCTGCAGGAAGCCGAGCAGCTCCGGCGTGAGGCCACCCTCTGCGGCTTGCGCCAGCGCCGTGCGGAACGCCGCTTTGTCGGCCGCGCTCGGGTCGGCCCGTGCCGCCCGGCCTCCCAGGGGCCCTGCCCGCGCCCTCCACCTCCTGGCCAGCAGCATGGAGGCCGCCCCGCGGATGAGGCCATCCCAGGCCTCAGAGTCCTCCAAACCCACGCTGCCACCACCGCCGCCGCCGCCACGGCGCTTGAGCTCCGAGCTCATTCCGGCCCAGAAGGAGCTGAGCGATGGCCACAGGATCCCGCCGAGGGCCTCGGCGGCCCGGGAAGCCGTGGCGTCCGTGAGACCGGCGGCGCCAGATATGTCGCACTCGGCCTGCAGCGCGCCCAGCAGCTCGTCAGACAGAGGCACGACGGCGCGCGAGGCCGGCGAGAGGTACGTCTCGGTCAGGGCGGCCAGAGCGCAGCGCCTCGCGCGCGCTCCCCGGGCCGCCAGGTAGTCCCAGAGCGCCGACAGCATTCCCAGGCAGTGCCGCAGCGTGGCCGGCTCCGTCTCCTTCAAGAACCTCCCGAAGGCCGCACGCATCATCTTGTTGTGCAGCAGGGCCCGCAGGTGCGGCACGGCGTCGGCCTCCACCAGCGCCTTCAGATCAAAGCGGCCGCCGCTCTCCTCCGCGGCGCCGGCCTCGCGCGGAGGTCGCGGGCGAGGCCGGGTTCGCCCACGTCGCCCGCGGACCCGGCTGGGGCCCGAGGTCCCCTCTCCACTCCTCCTGGCGCTGCTCCTGATGACAGAGGGGGGGAGGGTGGGCAGGGGAGCGCAATGCGGGTCGTGGACACATACAGCTGTCTCAATCATCGGCGCAATGCCCATGGATTTAAAGCTTTCGTGACTGCAATGATTCATCTTCTTTGGTTCTTTCGGTAAAGTCACGTAGAATGAGAATAAAATAATAAATTGATTAAATAAAATAACACAATAATATTCTCACGACGTTTCGGCTTGTGTTGTGGCCGAAACGTCATGAGAATATTATTGTGTTATTTTATTTTATCAATTTATTATTTTATTCTCATTCTACGTGACTTTACCGAAAGAACCAAAGAAGAGCAATGACCATGGTAGAGATTCGGTCGCGCTTGTGATGGCCTACGAATAGGACGGTTGGCTACGCATGGTGCGACAGAAGTTCAACATACATACATCGACGTTGGGGTGATTGACTTTGTATTTGCGCTTAGGGTGAAAGCGTTTCTACATTTGTTCTGTCTGCCTGTAACGAGCGGTGGGTGGGGAGAGGGCGGTCACGGTAACTAGCGTGAGGATGACCCGGTACGAACGAATTTCTCTGCTGAGGTCACGGTGCTATTTTATCCTTGCACATGATGTCAGCAGCAACATGTGCGGGAGCGAGACGTCACTGTGGAGGGCTTCAGCAGGGAGAGAGAGAGTTTGCGTAGTTTTGCTGTTCCTCCTCCATTACTTTATGGTCCATAGTTTGTCGCTATTAGGGACTCGCGCGAGAGAAAGCCGGACAAAACTTTCGGAGGGCTTAGTAACCAAACCTTTGGAGACATAAATCACGGTAGAAACGACCGTTTGGCCCAACGGCCGCTCGGAGCGCTGTTTGGACAGCGCCGCAGGCAGCCGCACGTGTGGATGCCCTCCACCATCCGTGCGTGCACATGATTACATTTCGACTGGAGCACGGTGAGCAGAAAGCTAAATGAGCATTACTACTATAATAGCCCAGAAATGTGTGTCACGCGCGTGACATCACTCCACATGCCGCACCCCCCCATCATTAATAATAAAATAATCATGAGCGGCTGCATTTTTACACTCACGCGGAAGATATTTTAATGACGTTTATTTACAGAAAGTGACGGTCAAAAATAAATATACGCAGCACAGTGCTCCATCCGTATGTGACGTCACTGCAAAAGAGCCCCCCCCCCCCCGTCGTTACTATCATAAGCAAGAAAAATGTTCACGCAAATTCGCTTTCAATTTTACGTTTCTTTATTTACAGTTAATCAAATAAATAATTATCCGCAGCAACAAAGTGTATTTGGTGTCTTTATTTATTTCTTCAACACTTGAAACACAAGGTAAGTCAAATTTTTGCTTAAAAATTATGATAAAATATATACATTTCTCTGTGATTTTCCAGACATTGTATCGGATTAAAGTTGATTACAACCCCAGCGAGCGAAAGCAGAAGAATATAAGGTATCAGAGCAGTGATTTTGAACTAATTGAAGGTGAGTTTTAAATGCAGTGCTACAGTGACATGAAACGAGGTGTTTTATGATATAGTTTGTGCAAGCATCACTGCCATTAATACAGTACTATAGTGAAATTCAGTTAAGTGTTTCATGACTTCATTTTGTGCCAGATTCACTGCCATTAAATTTACACAAGATACAATTATACTCTGCTCAATTTTTGTTCGTAAATATTACAGCTTCCGTACCTAGGACGGGCAAAATGCTAGTTAATTGTATTCATTGAAAACATCAACACACACCGTTGACCTCGCACCGCGACCTCACCTCTCACCGTAACCTCACCTGTTGGAGCGGCCGGGTTCCGAGTCGGAGAGAACCTCGTATGAGTCTCCCAGGTCCGCGCAAAACCTGCACCGCACATCCAGATGTATGTATGTTGTACGTATGTTGAACTTTTTTCGCACCGTACATAGTCAACCGTGCTACTCAGAGGTGCGGGGGAAGGACAGCAAACTAAACGCAAAAAGCATGTATAAATAAATTCGTTTTCAATTTAGATTTACAAGTGCATAGCTCCGGTTGCTTCCTAATATCAGAAGGAAGATCATTCCAGACGGCCACAGAAGAGCATCTGAAAGCGCACGATGCAGTGACCGTCTTTGTTTGATGGCTAGCCAAAAGACGCCACTGCGAGGATGATCGGAGTTCGCGTGATTGTTTATGCTCCTGACGAGATCAGTAAGATATTGTGGTTTATTTGTGGTAAGCACATCCACACACACAGCCACACGAGTTCCATTACACACAAACAGCCAGACGAGCACCATCATATCCGAACACACAGCCAGACGAGTGCCATTACACACACACATCCACACAACTGCAATCACATCCTCCATCGCGTAGCTGTGTGTGTGGTGCCATCACCATTTGCCATGTGGCTCAAGCAGTCACTGGGAAGATCAGCAAGAGGTGGGGTTTGGACCAAGGTCGTAGCACGGCTTATGGTTCGAGTTAGGATGAGGTCTAGGATCAGGGTTTGTGTTTGGGTCAGGGTCAAGGATAGGGTTAGAGCTATGTTCATGGATAGGGTTATGGTCATGGTTAGGTCTAGATTCACACCTAGGATCAGTTTTAAGGTCAGGTCTATGATTAGGTGAAGGTTAGGTCTAGGGTAGTTGAGATTTCGGGTCAAATGTAGTCAAAGATAGAGTCATATCGATGGCTAGGTTCCGGTCTAGAATTAAGTTCATTGTCAAAGACAGTAATTTTTATGGTCAATTCCAGGTTCAGGTCTAGGGTCAGGGTTCGGGTCAGCGCTATGGTTTGGTAGAGGGTTAAGTCTCGACGGAGCGTTGGTGTCCGCTCGAGGCTGAGCGCCATCTCTCCGTGCACATGGAGGCGCCGCGTCACGTGGCACTCACTGGAGGAATGTGTGGATGTCCAGACGGTAGAACTCGACCCAGGCCTGGCTCAGGCTGCGCATGGCCTCGTTCAGGGCCCCCTCAAACATGCCCAGGTCCACGGTCTCGTCGCCCCGCCCGGCCTGCAAGGCCCCCCGCAGTGCAGACACCAATGCCTGGTCCCACGGCTCACAGCCTAGGCCGCAGAGACACGGGGGTCCACGCCGCATGCACTCTTAAGAGTCTTGACGCGAGCGCAAGTTGCATTAGCGGGCTCCTATTCAGATTAGAGACGTCCCATTTCCTGGGTTTTCTCGTGCCCTAGCCGGGTAACTCCCTCTGCATGGAGCAGGGGTGTTGGTGACACAGGGATACGGTAACATGGGAACAGAGAGATGGAGAGACATGAGATTACGGTGACATGGGTATAGGGAGACAGAGAGATATGGAGACATTGCGACGTTTGGGCATAGAGATGGGGGCACAGATTGGGACAAGAGGAAACAGAGAAGTAGAAACATGGGGAGACGTGGAAACGCACGTTACCCTGTCGAGTTCATAGGCACGTGACGCGGGGCACACCTGTGCTGCAGGGCGCATTGGCAGCCAAGTAGGTGCTGTAGATGTCCCAGGCCGCCAGGGCACTGGCCCTGGGCCGCTCCCAGGGCCCAGGGGCTGCCCCCTCGGCGAGCCGCGCAACCTCCAGCCACAGCAGCAGCCGGTGCAGCATGGATCGGTCCTCCCACCTGGGCACCCACGCCAACACGCCACAGCGGACAGGAGGCGTGCAGGTGAGTCTACCTGTGCACAATCATTCCTCTCCATCAGTGTGTCTGTCTGTGACCTGTCCACGAATGATGTCTCCTGGACATCTGTGACACTGCTGGACATCTGTGAAAAAGAGCTTCATAGCTCATCGGATTCCTCCAGTATAAATACATATCTTGAGTTAACCTGTCCACTAGCATGTCAGCTGGAGGTAGAATCGTGGGTGAAGGTGTAGGCGGAGGGAGGGGTTAAACTCCCACTGAATATTTTCCGGGTCACCAGTGGACTAGAATATAGCACGTGACCAACAGTCGCAGCCATAGCGAGAAGTATCATTAATTTGGAGTGCTATCTGCTGAATTAATATCTGGTTTGTCAACCTGGACAGAAGTCGAGCCCTGGGTGCAGGTGCGGGCACAGGTGTAGGTGGTGCAAATAATGAAATGGGATCCTCTGTCCAATTACACCCTCATTACATCCTCATGTTGTAGCTACCCCACTGGCTGCAGATGTAGGTACAGGTGGACGTGATGATTAATAATAATCAGCTCACTCTCTCAAAGAGAGAGAGGACGGCTCAGAGGCGCTAGAAGAAACCACAGATAAGTCACGTGATAACTGCTTTGCCAACAAATTGGTGCCAACGAATTTACCAAGCGCTGCGGTCCTCTATACATTAAGGTGTTTTATCGGCCGGAGCAACCGGACAAAAACCCACGCATGCAAGGGGGAAACACTCTATCCCATACAGACAGAAGAAGTTGAGTCCACATTTTTTGCTGAACAGCATTTCAACGACAGAGCGAGGATATGGCTCCTCCTCGATGCCCACGGGAAAGGAGTTTTGCAACATTTTCGCGGTGATCTACCAACCCTCGCCGCCTCTAGCGCTGAAATACAGGCCACGTGCATAGCCACCAATGCCCGGCTGAAACGAGTGGCCCATTAGGATGACGGGAGCCACGCAGCTGTGTACGTGGGCTGTGGCACAGGTGAGCCCGATCCCCCCGCGCTCCCTCCCTCACTCGGCCAGGTAGTACAGGAAGGGACCCCCCGCCTCGGGGTCCATGCGCAGCACGAGCAGGAAAGGCTCCGCGAGGTGGGGGGCAGGCGCAGAGGGGGAGGCGGAGACGAAGCGAGCGGAGCCAACGCGGCCGTCCATGGCGCCCGGAGAGCTCCCCTGCACGCGGGGCAACTCGCACGCACGTCGACTCATTAGTGCGCAGACTCACTGGTGCACAGAATCACTGGTGCACAGACTCACTGGTGCACAGTCTCACTGGTGCACAGTCTCACTGGAGCGCTGTCTCACTGGTGCACAGACTCACTGGTGCGCAGACTCACTGGTGCACAGACTCACTGGTGCACAGACTCAACTGGAGCGCTGTCTCACTGGTGCACAGTCTCACTGGTGCACAGACTCATTGGCGCACAGACTCACTGGTGCACAGTCTCACTGGTGCACAGACTCATTGGCGCACAGTCTCACTGGAGTGCTGTCTCACTGGTGCACAGACTCACTGGTGCACAGACTCACTGGTGCACAGTCTCACTGGTGCACAGACTCATTGGCGCACAGTCTCACTGGAGCGCTGTCTCACTGGTGCACAGACTCACTGGTGCACAGTCTCACTGGAGCGCTGTCTCACTGGTGCACAGACTCACTGGTGCACAGACTCACTGGTGCACAGTCTCACTGGAGCGCTGTCTCACTGGTGCGCAGTCTCACTGGTGCGCAATCTCACTGGTGCACAGACTCATTAGTACACAGACTCCATAGTACACAGACTCACTGTTGCACAACAACAACAACAACCGCCATTCGCCACTAAGTGGCGGTGACGTCACCACGACGCTTGTGCCAGGCTATGTGCACCCTGAGGCCACGTGAAGTGTCGAACGCCCGCTGGCAGGAGGTCACGGGGCAGACCCAGCAGGTGCCACGGGTCGACTGACTGAGATGACTGGCTGATGCACCACCTGTGCCCCCTACTGTGCCAACCTGCTGTGCTTTAGCCACCCGGCGCTCCGCTCGTTGTTCTGAGCGTCGCTCCTCGGCCCTCCGTTGTTGTTGGAGGGCGACTACCTCTAACTGCCCAGTAGCATCCTTCACGAGCCTCCTCCACAGAGGCCGATCTTGACACCGCTGGTACCAGTCATCGGCAAGTCCACTCAGCTCCACGTCCTCCTTTACCACATCACTCCATCTCTTCTCTAGCCCGTGCCGCGCCCGGTTAGCCCCCTCAATCCGGCCAAACAAAAGCTGTTTTCGGCATGCGGTGGCTGGGCATGCGGGCTACATGACCCAGCCATCGCAGCCTTGCCTGCCGGAGGAGCTCACCGATGGGACCCTGCCCAGATCTTTCAAGGATTTGTGAGCTCCTCACACAATCCAGTCTGGTTAAACCCAGGATGGATCGTAGGCAGGCCAGCCTAAATGTTTCTAACCGGCGAAGATGTTCCATTAGGGGGGTCCACGTTTCGCAAGCGTAAAGAAGGGAGGGAATGACCGTGGCCGAGAAGACCTGAAGCTTAGTGCGGAGCGACAGACCAGGTAGCTTCCACACAGCGTTACGCATCCGATGAAAAGATATTGCCGCTCGACTGATTCGGAGTGAGACCTCTGCTGTTAAACTGGAGCCAGTCATAAGCACACTGCCCAGGTATGGGAAACTCTCCACTCTCTCCACAACTGCCCCATCACCGATTGGGAGTTGTGGGGGTGGAGTGTCCGATGGTACAAAATACCCAGGCAGGTGCTTAGTTTTGGTGGGGCTGATGGTAAGGCCCCACCTCTTAGTGGCACGCTCCAGTCTCAGCAGCAGCGTCTCCAACTCCTCCTCTGACTGAGCAGCTATTACCAAATCATCAGCATACATAACGTGGTTGAGCAATAGGGAGCCATCCCTTGACCGCACCCGGGCATCGATTAGCCTCCCATTATATCTGTACCATATGGAGATTCCCCCGGTACAGCTATTGAAGGCTTCACGAACTACGTGGTCAAAATAGATGTTAAATAATGTGGGAGCCAGAGGACATCCCTGTCGCACCCCAAGGTGTACAGGGAATGGCTCTGACTCCCGGCCACGTAGTTTTATCCGGGCCCGCTCACCATCATGAAGGTCCTTAATGATCGTGAGCAGAGGGTCAGGTACTGTTGCACACTCACTAGTACACAGACAGACGAGTGCAAACACAAAGAAAAATAATCCCCCGTATAGCCTTAACAGACTGTTGGGGCAAGTGCTGTTAGCGAGCACCTATAAAGGCCGGTACAGCACACGAGGGGGTGGGTGGCCAACACCACGTCCGGCCGCCTTTGTCTCCCCAGTGACGATGTTTATGCACCGCACCAGGTACTCATTGAGGCTGAACCGAAGACCCAGGACCGGTTCAGATAATCGTGAGCGGGAATCGAACTCGGGTCGCCAGGTTCGTAGCGCAGCGCGCTAACCGCTACACTACCGCTCCCCATAATTGCGCAGCTCGACTCACATCCACACGTTGACTCACTAGTGCACAGACACGTAAAGTCATTGGCTCGCTCATGTACTCTGACCCCTGAACCCATAATGGAGGTGGGTCGGAGTCCAGGGGACCTCGGTGGGACCCCTTACATGGGGGATTCGTGGGGCGGGGTCGGGGTCAGGCAGGGGGATGTGGGGAACTTGAGGCCAGAGGTCACCGGGGCCGCAAGGTCGCGTGTCCGGCCTCAACCTGGAACGACACCGGGGTCGCATCTTTGATTAGTGGGGACACGTGAACATGGGCACACAGGGACACGGGCACACAGAGACATTGAACACAGAGACACAGGGGCAAATGGTGCATCGGGAGATGGGAGCGTGGAGACGCGGGGTGACACTGGGAAATCAGAATTCACGGGTGTTCCTCGTCTCATGAGGCCATGCGACATGGGGAAGAGGAGCGTGTAGACATGGAGCCCCCCACCCTCCCCCTCCTCCAAGAGGTGAACACGGTGACATAGGGGCACAGATGGGGACACGTGGGCAAGGGGGAATCGTAAGCAACGTGGGGGGGGGGGGGGGGTATGGGGTAGGAAGAGGGAATGAGGAGGAAGGGGCGTGGGCCCTGACCCCAGGAGTCGTCTCCGCTCGCGGTGCACGAGGAAGCGTGGGACCCAGTAGACGCGCAGGCGGCGCAGCGCCGCGTACTGGGCACCGGCGAGGAGGGGCAGCCCCGGCCAGGCGCCCCGGCCTCCACACGCCGCCAGCTGGGCCTGCGGGGACCCACGGCGGACGTCGGGGGGAGGGAGTCAGTGATGCGGTCCCGGCCCCTACCCCTTTGCTCACCGCGCACCCCCCTTATTTAGCAACTCCTCCTCGTCGTCCGTGCCACGGTGTGTCTCAACGGTCCCCGTAGGAGAGCCCCCGCCCCTCCCCGTGGTGGGGTACCTGCGCGTCCGGGGCGACGTGGAACTTGTGCGAGTCCTGCAGGTCCCTGCGCGGGACGAGGCGGGCACGGAGGGGGGGGGGTCAAGGGTCAGCCACTGTTTCTACCAATCCCAAGGAAAATCCTCACTCGACCTGATCATCAGCATCATCATTCACGACCTATCCGCTGCTGGCTAAAGGCCTCTCCAAGCCACCGCAAGCTGCTGCGGTCCGGCGATGCAACACTCCGTCGAGCTCTCCCGCACCCGAGCTGATCTCATCCCATCCCCACCACCCTGCGGAAGAGTCCGAGAAAGCATCGTCATCATCACCATCACGTGTGGAGTCTCACCTGTAGAGTTGGGCGTGCAGCTGCCGTGCTCTGCGGGCCCCCCACGGCCCTTCCCCGAGCCCCCCACTCTCCCCGTTATCACCGTCGGCCTCGGGCTCCACGTCCAGGTGCTGCTTGAGCTCCTCGCTCTGGAGCCAAAATTGCAGGAGGTGCCGCCCCTGCGTGGCCTCCAGGAAGCGCTGGAACTGATCCATGCCGCGCTTCTGCAGGGGATGGGAGCGCCGTGTACCATTCCACGTTACTATGGCAGGTGCCCAGTCACATGGGTGAGAAGCACACTCACTTCCTGCCATTAGGGGTGTGAATAGATGTGTGGGTGAATTTATGAATGGGTGAAAGACTGAGGGAAGTAACTGCTTAATAAATGGATTAATTAATTAATGAGTGGGTAAATTAATTCATTAAAAAAATATATAGTGGGTGAGTGAAAAAGGTAATTGAATAACTGGACCAATGAATGCCTGAGTGAATGAATTCATTAATAGATTAATTGATGACCAAGTTAACAATTGGCTGTAAGGATGGACGAACGAGTGGATGAATGAAAAAGTGACTGAACGAACAAATTCATTTGTGACCTCACCATCACCCCGTGACCTCACCATCACCCCGTGACCTCACCATCGCCCCGTGACCTCACCGTGCCCAGGGTGCGCTCCTTGACCTCCTGCAAGGTGACGTCGTGCACGGGGGCCGCCCCCTGCCTCCACCCCTCCCCCTCGTCCTCGCCGTCCCCTTCGAAGAGCAGCACGGTGAGACACGGCCCCTCCGGGGGGGCCCCTCTCGTGGGGGGCCAGAGCCCCCCTCCCTCCCCGACGTAGCCGCGCCTGCGTGGAAACGCACGGAGCACCCGCGTCAGGCTCTCTCCGCTGCTGAGTGTAGCCACGTGTGTGGCTCACATTCCCAGACAAGCTGCACCCTCACCTGCACCCTCACCTGCACCCTCACCTACACTCTCACCTGCACCCTCACCTGCACCCTCACCTGCACCCTCACCTACACTCTCACCTGCACCCTCACCTGCACCCTCACCTGTACCCTCACCTGCACCCTCACCTACACTCTCACCTGCACCCTCACCTGCACCCTCACCTGCACCCTCACCTGCACCCTCACCTGCACTTTTACCTGCACCCTCACCTGCACCCTCACCTGCACACTCACCTGAACCCTCACCTGCACCTTTACCTTAACCCTCACCTGCACCCTCTCCTGGACCCTCACCTGTAGAGTTATTGCGCTGTGCCATTCGTCGTTACCTGTGTGAGCCCTCCCCCCCAATGTTACTCACGTGTAGTCGGGGGCCGGGGTCTCCTCCCGTGGGGCCAGCAGCTGATCCCTCCACTCTGCCAGGTGAGCGGCCGTGACCCCATCGTCCCTCCAGCCCAGGTGCGAACTCCCCCCGCGTCCTACAGGGGGAACAGGGGCAGTGCGGTGAGAGGGGGCTGTCCTCGCCTCGCCTCACCATGGCTCACCGTCACCTCACCATCGCTCACCATCACTTCACCATCGCTCACTATCACCTCACCATCGCTCACCATCACTTCACCATCGCTCAACATCGCTCACCTCGCCATCACTCGCCACACACCACCTCACCATGCTCTCACCCACCACACACCACCTCACCATGCTCTCACTCACCATCACTCACCACACCACCTCACCGTGCCCTCGCAAACCATCACTCCACCATCGCTCACCGCACCATCACTCATTACTCACCACCTCACTGCACCATCACTCACCACACACCACCTCACCATGCTCTCACTCACCATCACCGCACCATCACTCACCACACCACCTCACTCACCATCACTCACCACACCACCTCACCGCACCTCGCTCACCATCACCTCACTGCACCATCACTCACCACACCATCACTCACCACACACCACCGCACCATCACTCACCACACCACCTCACCGCACCTCGCTCACCCTCCCCCGCCCCTAATACCAAAGTTGTCGGGAAGGCTGCGGGCTCGGCTGGGGAGCCGCGGCCCCCTCCCCGTCCCTCCGCGACCAGACGGGGACGACGCCGGGGGGGGCGAGGGGCGTGAGGGGGACGAGGAAGAGGCGCGGGGGCCCCGGTCCGGCGAGGGGGGGCGGGAGCCCAGACTGGAGGCCCCCTCCGACTGGCGGCTGAACCCTCGCACCCCGCGCCCCCCCTCGCGCCGCTCATCGACGCGCCTCAACAGCAGCGTCCCCAGGCGGAACTCGAGCCACAGCCGTGACCTGGGGGGGGAGGGGGGGGGCATTTCAACAGGGGGTTGGATCTAAGAACTTAAATCTAGAATCCGAGTGTGAGTGGGGAGGAGGGGGGAGGCGCGTCACACAGGGGGGGGGGGGGGGGAGTTTGGGGATAATTCGGACCCCCTGGGAAGGGGGGGCATTTTGGCCTAAGCAAGGGGGGGGGGGTGCAGAGGGAGCCTCTGGAGTGAGAGTGAGAATGGGGGGCTGTCATTTGGCGACCTCTCATTCACGGTGGAATCCATGTTCCAAACAGGCCCCGTGTAGCGGCATCTTCCTGTGGAGGAGTCTTGAGACTCAGCGAGACTTCTCGTGGGGATTGTGAAGGGTGTTAGGGACTCACACGCGGAGCTGTCAACGCCGCGCGAAGCGATGGGTGCCTCATTCACACACTTCCTTCACACACTTCCTTCACACTTCCTTCACACACTTCCTTCACACCTCATTCACACACTTCCTTCACACGTCATTCACACACTTCCTTCACACGTCATTCACACACTTCCTTCACACGTCATTCACACACTTCCTTCACACGTCATTCACACACTTCCTTCACACCTCATTCACACACTTCCTTCACACGTCATTCACACACTTCCTTCACGCGTCATTCACACACTTCCTTCACACGTCATTCACACACTTCCTTCACACCTCATTCACACACTTCCTTCACACGTCATTCACACATCTCCAACGCTTCGGAGACGCGCGGGGCAGAGGATAAACAACGAACGTGATGCGCCAGGAACAAGCAAGTAATTATTCATTTCATATCGTGTCACCGTTCGTGCAGATTGCATCTCACAACCGCTGAGGCACCACAGGACCAAACCGGAAGGCTGCCAGGTGGTAAGCTGGTACCAACAATTGCTCTGCAGTTCTCTATATATGAAGGTGTTTTCAGTCGATTCGTGAATATTCATGCGTGGAGAAAGCCCACGCATGCGAGGGGGCAACACTCTATCCCAGCAGCTGCTATCAGTCTACACTTTGCTGTACTGCACCCTGCCGGAAAGTCAGGGTGTCGAACCACACATTGTCATTAATGTGATTCACCAATCCTCGCTGCCTCCAGAGTGCTGGACTGCAGGCCACGTGCCCAGCCACCACCGCCGTTGCCTGCACGTGATGTTGAGATTGCCTAGTGGCGGTGCGAGGCGGGAGGATGGTAGGGAGACGAGGAGCCGCGCTCGACACCGTGACGCCCCGTACGCTACAGCCTGTCAACGATCGACGTGCACGGCCCCGATGTCACTCCACTGCTGGATGACAGCCTGCCAAACCATGCCTGTGTGGTTCGTGGAGGTTATTTGACCATACTTCCCCACCTTGCGGAGTATGGTACGGACGATGCCGTTTGCTGTGCCGCCCTCTCTTGACGTAGCCACGCGGCAGCCTATAGCACCTGTGGAGCATGATGGTCGCTCAGTAAAGCTGACGACGGGGACAGCTGTCGCCAGGAGGAGAGGAGGAGGGGGGGGGGCATGCCGGGGGGGGGGCCGGGGGATTCAAGCGAGCGACGCGGAGCGTGCAGATCCCGCTCGCGCGTACAGAGCGGCGCTGCGGCACGACCCGATGACCCCGTGACCCCGCGGTGTGGACGCTGACCGCAGGAAGAGCGGGAGCCGCTGGGACTGGAGCCAGGCGAGAATGCGGCCCCTCTGGGCCTCGGTGGCGCCGTACGGGGGGGTCGGGGCCGGGCCCTCTTCGTCCGCTGCCCCCTCCTGCTCCTCCTCACCATCCTCCTCCTCCTCCTCCCCCGCCTCCTCCAGGGAGCCCGTGAGGCGGTCATACCTGAGTCGCAGCGGGAAGGCCTGCGGACGTGAGGGCCGGCAAGCGTGTCACCGCACAGATTATCATTGGCAGGACATTCCACATTCCAGTGACGGGGGCCAGCCGGGTGGGGTAGCTATCCAGGGTGCTGCCGGTGCAATTGAGCCAGGGCCCGTGTGCCGGAAAGGAAAGACAAAGCTGACATATGGCACAACGGCGAGCCGGTGCTATTGCCCAGAAAATTGTCGGCCTTGGGCCACCAGACGTGACGACTCGGAGGAGTTCGGTTGGCTTCACTCGGTCGGGCAGGGGCAGCGTAGAGCTGTAGAATAATATGCCACGCGGCTGTAAGCCAGGGGTGGGGAAACTTTTTTCTGCCTTGGGCCATGTGGATGTTAATAACATCATTCGCGGGCCATACAAAATTATCAACTTAAAAATTAGCCTGTTATATTTGGTCAAACATTTAATTAACTCACCCCTAATGCGATGGCTGGAACTGCGTCTCTTTAGCGAGGCGTGTGATGTTAGCTGGTATTGATGATGTTGCTACTCGCAACTGCTTTTCCAGGTTTGCTCCTAGATTTATTGAATTTCGAGTCCCGCCTGCGGTTGCCTTGGCAGGGCCAGAGACCAAATGATTTAGCGGGCCTCACACGGCCCGCGGGCCGGACGTTCCCCACCCCTGATGTAAGCGGAGTCCCGCTGGGGCGGGGGGGGGGGCGACCCTACAGGCGGTAGAGCCCTAGGCCACAGAGCTGCGGCGGCAAGGTTGAGGTTGAACCCCCCCCCCCCCCCCCCACCGTGGGTGGCGAGAATACTCACGGGCAGGGCCAGGTAATGGTTGAAGTAGTCGAGGAAGAGGTCATCAAAGGTCAAGAGCTCCTCCAGGGCCTCAGTCCCTGCGTCAGCCTCTGGGACACAGGGAGAGAAGACACGG